GACGTGAATATAAGATCACACTTGGCTCAAAATAAGCCAATGACTCAAGCTCTAACCATAACTAGGGTATTTTGATGAAGACTTCTGGGAAGTCCTCCTACACAATGGAGAGAATTTTAAAAAATCAGTCTCTTTTTCAATAGGCAAGGAAGTCCAAAGCTTATCAGCATTCACAGTATCAATTAGTCAGGATCAGCCAACATTGTGAATAGCCAAAGAGCCTGAAATGAATGAGAAGTTCTCCTAACATTATTGAACTGTTAGATAAATCAAACTTCTTGATTACCTGTTGGGTCAGGAAATTAACTTCTTTATATTCATGTAGACTTGAAAATATAAATATAACACGCATAATGAATATCACTTCTGCCTGTTGCTTAAGCCCAATTATTTATTCCAGCTAACTCTAACTATGTCTACATATTTGTCTTGCTATAGTACATTCTGTCCCAAACAGAACTCGTCTCCTCTCTCAATAAGAACTGCTCTCTAAACTACCTTATCTCTGGGTCTGTGGGTCCCAGGTGGGCTGTGTCCTCTCGTCATCTCCCTACCTGTTCCCCCACCATTTTTCTTGTATTCCTTGTTTATTGTCTACCTACTATGGTAGTATTCTTTCTTTCGTTTTGTGTTTTGTTTTTTGACACAGGATTTCTCTTTGTAGCTCTGGCTGTCCACTCCGTAGACCAGGCTAGTCTTGAACTCACAGATCCATCTGCCTCTGCCTCCCAAGTGCTGGAATTAAAGGTGTACACCACCCTGTCACCTGTACCATTATTCTAAACACTAGTGATACAATCAAAACCAGACAATCCCATGCCCCCATAAAACTTGCATTGTTCTAAAGTCCAAAAAGAATTAGTAAATGAGACCAAAAATACAGAGTAATTACAGGCTGAAAAGTACCCTAAAGTCTTAAAGCTGCCTCAGAGAATGACCACTGCTGGTCACCAAAAATCCTCGGAGATGCCATTTGACCAAAAAAAAAAAAAAAAAAAAAAACCTAATAAAAGAAAAAAAAAAAACAAACAAACAAACAAAAAAAAACAAAAAAAAAAAAAAAAAAAAAAAAAACCTAATAAAAGTGAGGATAAGGCAGTTGAGTTGTTCCCTTCCCTGGAAAGTACTTCTGGAAATCATGCTGTCCCATGACATCTTTAATCTATAGAACCATAAGACAATATTTCTCAAAGTATTTTTAGTGAACATATGGTAATTATACAGATATATTGGATACAGTTATAACTAAACACACACACACAATGCATAGTGAACTGTGATAATTTTTATCTCCTTGAAACATCACTTCTTTGGGTTAGGACTCTTCAGACTCCTCTTTTTTTGTTCTCTATGAAAGATGGAATAAAATTGTTTTATACTACAGTATCCTACTGTCCTGGAGAATACTGGAAATTGCTCCTTCTCTCTCTTTTGGCACCATGTCAAATAGTCAACACTTCCTGATACATTATCACACAGAGCAGAGCTACTGAGCCGTCCATCCCTCTGCAGCACAGGCCAAGCTATGCATGTAAGCTTTTGGTGAAGATACAAAAGAGAGAGATCCACGGGAGGCGGACTCAGAAATGCCTTCATTGTTTTTCAGACACCTGATCTGTTAAAATCGTATGTCCTCTGAACAATGTCAAATAACACCTCTGACACAAGGACGTCTCTACTCTTTAGTGACCACAGCAATCAACATCTCACACATTATACTCCTCTTGCAGCCCAGGTCTCCTTTACCATGGACTGAAATGAGTAGATATGCGCTTCAAAACTCAGTTGTTGTTTTTTGTTTTTTTTTAAATAATCTGAAAATTGCTTTCTTGTCTCCACACATACATTTGTGCACAAATTAGTTTTTAATTTTGTACTCACTGGCAGGAACTTGGGCTTATGTGAGCATGTCTTTTAATCCCTCTTCCAGATTGCAAGGAAGGATGTAAAAGTGCTATTAACAAAGTGAAATAAAATCCCAACAATAATACACCCTATTAGACATGTCTCTCAACTGTAACTAACCATCAAGAGGTAGTTATTACGCTGTCACCCACTGAAATTCAGACAGTTCCACCTTTGGCGTTGGGAATTCACTCTGATACTGAGGAATATTTCAAGGAAAATACTAAGATTAAATTCTTAAACAGAAAAAAAAAAACACTCGTTTTCATGCTACTTTCCTTCCTTAATTTAGTACCAAAGAAGGCTCATGCTTTAACATGTATATCAAGTAAAAGCTTCTTTTACCACTCACTATGTTCATGCAGACTCCCAAATGAAAACACCTTCTTAGTAATGTGGGACCAAGAAATCAACTATTCTTGCCCACTTCTGCTCTTAGATGGAGGCATAGAAAGTGCTAGTTTCTTTAGAACAGACTGGATGTTAGGAAATGCCCCTCACACATGCTCTGTATGATTCTTGACGATTCTGCAGCCTAATCTTTGGGAGTCTCTTGTCCACAGTCTACATGCAGTCTTCTCAGCTTAGCCCACACAGAGGACAAAGAAATGCTACCTCTGCAAGTCAGTCAAGTAGCTCAGAAATTATCCAAACATGGAAGGAAAGGAGGGAGGGAGGGAGGGAGGGAGGGAGGGAGGAAGGAAGGAAGGAAGGAAGGAAGGAAGGAAGGAAGGAAGGAAGGAAGGAAGGAAGGAAGGAAGGAAGGAAGGAAGGAAGGAAGGAAGGAAGGAAGATGTTATTGAGAATGCGGGTAAAAGGGAGTCATCATGCACTTCTGTACTGTAAGTAGGAATGTAAGTGAGTCGGTCACTATGACAATCGGCATAGAGGTCCCTCAGATAACTGAAAATTGAACTACCATAGGACTCAACTACACCACTCTTGAGTTTACACCCAAAGGACACTCTAAGAAGATACTTGCACTTCAGTTCTTATTGTAACTGTGTTCGAACAGCCAAGTTACAGAATCGGCCTCGGTGTCCACCAACCAATGAATGCACTCAAATGTGGCAAACATATACAATGTGGTTTTATTTGGCTATAAAGAAAAATAAACTAACATCATTTTCAGAAAATGAAAACTTAAATAGCAAAAATGCTTGCTACCAAACCTGATGATCTGAGTTTGATTCTGAGAGCCTACATGGCGAAAGGGAAGAATCAACTCCTGCAAGTTGTCCTCTGACCACACTGTGGCTGGCTGGCTCTCTCTCTCTGGCTCTCTCTCTCTGGCTCTCTCTCTCTCTCTCTCTCTCTCTCTCTCTCTCTCTCTCTCTCTCTCTCTCTCTCTCTCTCTCTCTCTCTCTCTCTCCACACACACACACACAATGTAAAAAAAAGAAAGATAGCTATAAATGGGAGCCAAAGTAAAATAACTCAAGACAAACACGTTTTATCTCATTTGTAGACACTACATTTTATATACAAACAAAATCATTTTTATATATGACATGAAAGTAGAGGTTCTCCTCTCTGGGGAAAGGAGAAGATGATATTGGAGGGTTATTACAATCAAAGTATGTGATGCACCCAGATAAAAGTATTGTCATGAAACCCATGGCTATATGGGTTTCAAACACCATATAAACACCAATAAAAAAGAAAAGAAAATGAAACACAGCCCGAGGGGGTGTGGTTTATGGTATGAAGAAAAGGAGAGGAGAGAAGAAATGACTTTAAGAACATGGGAAACACGTAGTATTAGCTAAGAATGCAGGGTAAATGTCTGCTTGCAGAATGAGTTCAAGGACTGTAGCTAGAGTTTTTTTCTCCGGGTTCTGCCAAGGTTCAGCAGTCTAATAGCCCACTTATAAAATAAACGCACGGACACTTATACTATTTAAACTGTTTGGCCTAATGGCTCAGGCTTCTTGTTAATTGTTCTTATATCTTAAATTAACCCATTTCTATTAATCTATACTTTGCCACGTGGCTCATGGCTTACTGGTACCTTGCATCTTCGTTGTCATGGCAGTGGCTGGCTGTGTCTCTCTGCCTCAGCCTTCCACTTCCCAGAATTCTTCTCCTCCTTGTCCCATCTATATTTCCTCTTGCCTGGCTACTGGCCAACCAGTGTTTTATTTATTAACCATTCAGAGCAACACATTTGACATACAGAACATCCCACAGCAAAGGACTACTGCTTTTCATTGGGGTTTGGGCCAGCAAGCTACATTCTAAATGGTTCGGGGCATTTGGCAAATTTTCCTGAATAAGTACATATTACTTTAATAACTGGAAATAAAAATAGTTGCTCAGCAACAAAAAACTCTGGAACTAATTTTTATTTTTCTCACACATTAACACTTAACTACATATTTTAAGCCTCTCACTCACTCTATTGTGTCCTTATATTTTTATTCAAAGCACACTAAAGTTTTATATCACTTATTTTTGATCCAGATTTCTTTTAAAAACTACTACTTTTGCTCTAGATATTTTCCAGACTCCCTAGAGGACAAAATAACAGATTTTAAAAACTAATCCAACAGTTCACAACATACATCATCATAAAAAGTATTCAAAATCATAACATTATCTGAATTAAAATTTATTATTAAAATAAGTTTTTTCTGCAGAACCATTATGGTTGTGGCAGTAGTTGAACATAAATTCACATACCAAAATTTGTCAAGCTATACACACTAAATATAAATACTGCAGTTTATGATATATCTACTATACCTTAGTAAAGACACATAAAATATAGTCTCAAGAAGGTACACATACTGAAATACTAGAGAGTCAGTACAGGAGGTAAGGCACTTGTTTCTCTTTAAGGACCTGAATTCAGGCCCCAGGATCCATGCTAGATATCTCACACCCTCCTCTGCACACCCTCCTCTGGCCTCCACAGACACCCACACGCCTGTGATAAACACACATACACACACATACACACACACACACACACACACACACACACACACACACACCACATACTTTTTACTTTTAAAAAAGGACTGCAAGAGACACAAACTCATTAAATGAGTAAATTAATACAACAAATAATTTTTTAAAAAAAGAACCACTCCTTAAATGCATCACCAATTTTATTTACAAAGGCAACTGAACAGAAAATCTCACTAGTTTCTGGAGAAAATTCCTGGTGTACAAACCATGGTTATTTTTTATTATTGAAAATAAGCAGCTTTCTACTGATATTTGCTTAGCAACAACAGTCCTTGTAAAGAAAATAGAATGCCCTCCTCAAGCAAATAAAATATTACATAAGCAAAATTATTTTTCAGTTGGATTATTTCTGTGTAAAGAAAACCACAAAAAAGCAAATTTATGGGTGGATTTAAATGAAATTTTTCATATGGTTCCACATTAACTTAGAATACATTACAGTAAACAGTAAACACAATTACATATTTATATTAACTATTTCAAATAATGTTTAAGAACTTAAAAAAAATAAAATAAAATACCCTCTTCAAAACACCACTAAAGGGTCAAACTAGATCATCATCAGTCTCCAAAGTATTTTTTTAAGTTCTTGGGGCTTTTCTGCTTGTGCTTTTAGGATGCCGAATTCAAAAGGCAAGTACGGCACTTCCCCACACACATAATTACCTTATAAATAAACAACAAAAATACAGGTCCTACCAGCACTACAGTGTTCCTATGTCATCTAATGAGGCAAAGGTTGTTCTTTTTTTTAAAAAAGGGGGGGACATACAAGACATATTTATAGTTCTGCATCAGCAGCCACCGCCTCCTCCTCTTCTATCTGCAACAGTGCTTTCGAATGGAGGCTTACATCACATGGCGGTTGGCCGTCCAGCTGATCAGGCAAGGAGAGAAGAGAGAAAAGTGCTCAGATTCAAAAGCATGTGGACATCATCACGTGGAGATATATAACAGTCATCACTCAGAGTGGCCCAGTGAGGTAGAAAGAGTTGCCTGTCACACAGTCTTAGGATAAAGGCAGGCAAATCGAAGCCTCTGGGGTCTAGAATTCTTTATTTGTAAAACAGTAAAACTTAACTGCTGAATCAAAAAAAAAATATCTTCAACTCTCTATTATTTGTACTGAGGGAGAGAAAAGGCATGGGCAATGATTCCAAAAATCAATTATATTTGGCTTTGGATTTAAAAGAGAAAAGTGCACACACATACACACTCCCCCCAACCGGACCCCATGCCCAGCCTTGACATTCTCCCAACTTCAGGGTCAATATCCAAGGGAGGCCTGGAGAGCCCGGAGAGAAGGCTCAGAAGCCATTGACAGATAAAAGAGAGTTGACCAGTTCAAATCATTTCCAAACACGCTTCATATAAGGGGCCATATAAATACCTCTGAGTTCAAAAGCAATAGGTTTGTAGATACCACTTGTAACACCCTTTCACAACAAGGAAGAAACATGTTACCAGCGTCAAGGTTCAAAATGATATACAGCAATTAACTGTTGTCTTGCTGAGGCTATAAACAACACACAACGGAGTAATGCTACCCTATCCTTCACAACACTCAAACACATGCTTAGTAAGAAGTAGCATTTAATTTTTTTTTAATTCAATGACACTGAAACACCATATAAACAAAATCAAGGCTCTCTTTTTCAAAAATACATGTATGGACACATGGCTACGTATTAACATAAAGCAGAAAGTCACACTCTCAGGGTCAGTCATTTGCAGAGTTGATTACATTCTAAGTCACATAATAAGAACTCATCATTAGATAATAGAAATGAGCTGATGAGAGATGGAGCCTTAATCAGAAAGCAGACTTGTCTTAACCTCTATTCTGTGCCCAGGAGTCATTAGAAGTTTCTCCTGGATCTTTACAAACCAGTCAATGTCCTGATTTCTGGGTATAACCCGCTTCAGTTCCTCCACCCCATAACCTCCTCTAGGTGGCTAGGATTCGGTAGACAGCCTCTTTGAAGGAGAAAGACTATGACCCCCAAAACCCAGGATCCTATGGTAGTGAACCTGAGGAGGAGGTGGCTACAGGCTCAGGGAGAGGCATAGGAACCCGTGGTCTCCTCAAAAGACAAGAAATTTTCTCTCTGATTTGCTCTCTTACATTTGAATCGGAGATAGCAGTCATTGCAGTACAGTTGGTGGTTTCGGATTCTGACTTCGGCTCCTGAGGAGGAGGAGGAGCCTCCGAGGTCACATTCACAGGAGACACACTGACAGACCAAAGAAAGCATACAGTTAGGTGATTCCAGAAAGTCCGGAGCACTCTCAGGAGGCAGATGCATGGGGTGAAGGGATTTGCAGGAGTGGGCTGGAAGGATTTTAGAGTGCAGCTCCTAAACTCTTGGGTATATTACAGCAGAGCAAAGGGTAGAGAAGACCAAAAGACAATTAGTGGATTGAAACCAAGCCTGCCAGATTCGACACTAAGAATTCATAAAGCAAAATTCAAAAACGAAGAGGACCATTCTAAATATACTTGGGCTAGAGAAATACAAAAAACAATTTGCTAATTGGCTTAAAGAAATTTAGTCTTCATTGCTCCAAGGAAATAACAGCTGACATCACATGTAAGAACAGGAGGAAAACAGAATTTGGGTTTCTGGCATTCTAGTCTAGAGTGGGCCTCTCCCAGTGTCCCCGGAGAATTAGATGAGCTAGCGTTCATGGGGTGCCTTATGTCAAGGCTGGGGACTTTGGCATTCTCTGTCTCTGTCTCTTCCTCATGTGTGTGTGTGTGTGTGTGTGTGTGTGTGTGTTCAAACACTGTTTTGACTCATTCTGCTCTACATGGATTTATACATACAAATTTATATGATTATATGATTAGCAAGCTGCTAACTTTGGAACTCCGGAATCAAAAACGGGGAGACTTTCTACTGGAACAGTGAAATTTCAAGAATTAAACTGATGTGTTCATAGACAGATACTGGAAAGCAAAGAGTTACAGCCTGGACCCTTCCCTGTATACAAAAACACTATCAGGGATAAGCAGGCTGTGCAACTGTAAAAATATTTACAGTGGTTTTCCTTCCAGACACTATTAAAAACTATCCATTAGACACTGATAACTGCATGTCTCTGTGCTGCTAATAACGCTGGTGAATTAAATTTTAAGTCTACCCGTGGCAGCATGCTAGGGAACACACTATGCACCATAAATTTTATTTATAGGATCCTAGCAGATTAGAGCTACAAAAAGCATAGAGCTTCCAGACTGACTTTCAGAAGGCGACTCCAGATTTGAGAACCAAGTAGCAGCAAGCAATTTGTGACTCCAGCACAGCACAGACTGACAAATAACAGCGCCAAGCTTGTTAGTGGCACATCCACAACCCAGCGGCTCACAGAAGCCATGCGCTCTCCAAGCAAAGCATAGCGGCCGGCAAGCTCTTTGTCTCAGGCTCACCTTAAAACAATGTAAATGATAACAAAGACCCAGGGACTCGATGATCATAGCAGCTCCTTTGCCCAGAATGTTATTACAGTAGGAGCACACACGCTTCCCACTCACTGACCTAGATGTGGAACAAGAATGGAATGGAGGCTTTCACCTATGCTGTGCAAGGTTGGCATTCAAAGTCACACTGTCATTGGCAGAAATGATCATAACTGAAGAAAGGCTCTTTGTATCTGTGGGAGAAAAACTCTCAGCAGCCAACTAAATCAGATCATTATACCTTGAACTTTCTCGACAGAGGCTCTAGGGAACCTTGATGCCTGTTCACCTAAAAGAACGATTTCAATGTGATTGGTCCATTTGGGACTTTGATTCCATTCCCCTGAGATCACATATGGACTCATCAGTATCCCTGATCTGTTACATCTTCTTGCTAGTTCAGTTGACTTATCTACAAAACTCCACTCACAGCATCCCATTCTCAGGTCCACCGGATTCTCTGTGATTTGCCTTCTCACCTTTACTTGTTACCCCTTCTTTTTCAATTTTCTGGTTAGAAATAGGAATGCTTTCTTGACTGCACTTCTGTTGGGAATGATGTCATCACAGCCCAAGAGCTGCCAATGAGTCAGGGATGGGGATTCCCACTTCACTTTCAGATCTCGGGCTGGTCTCTCCTAGTGCTAAAGAGACATCACCTACCTTGTTACTTTCTCATCCCTACAGAAGGAACATGGCACCACTGGGAGTGCAGGGAGTGTGTGGCTATTGAGAGTCAAGTGTGAAGAGAGCAGTCTGCCAGACGAAGACCTTCCCTGGGCTCTCTCACCGCCCTCCTCTCACATATGGGGCCACAGTGGGAGGAGAAGTGAATGGTGGTTCCTCTCCTCTGCAAATTCCATCTTCCCCTAAATCCTGACCATAAGGCCTCCTGACCCCTTTTCCTTTAATTCAACTCTAATGTATTTTGTAGATCTTGCTTATTGTAACATTATTTTGAATATATCTTCATATGCATATATATTCTTATCTAAGTCTATTAATTAATAACTTAAAATATCCAAATATCAATGGATTTCTACCTTTAATAATCACATTTGTGATGGAAACTATAATTCCTTTGGGATGAAAACAGAGGGCTAACTCCTGGGGAGGCTGTGGAGACCTGAAAATACAGCCCACATTGACATCAGGGCATCACTCCATGGCCTGGGGCAAGGGGCCATTCCAGACTCTACCTAACTTTTTTTTTTCTTTTGAATTTTTGAGACAGGGTTTCTCGAAAACTTTTCTATGTAGCTTTGGTGCCTGTCCTGGATTGTGCTCTGTAGACCAGGCTGGCCTCGAACTCACAGAGATCTGCCTGGCTCTGCCTCCTAAGTGCTGGGATTGAAGGTGTGGACCACCACTGCCTGGCTGACTCTACCTAATTTTTACACCCTCCCTGGAACATATGGACTGCAGAAGTCAGGTGATAAAGACTGAGCAAACTGGTGGCAGACTGGGTAACAGATGAAGCAACCCAAGACTCCGAAAGCAAGATCAAACCGACAAGATGATTTTCTTTTTTAATCCAGCTTGTTAAAACTGCCCAGGCTCTGAAGCATATTTATCATGCTTTTCTCCACACTCCATTCCAATGAGTTTCTAGTAGAGTGCCATTAAAAGTCAGACACTCATAATACTGCTCTTATTTATCAATATGAATGCATTTGTGAGCCACTCTGTCCTTGGTTGATGCCACATGGTGATCTACTCAGAGAAAACTTCCAGCTGAGACACTGATCAAAAGCACAGGCAACAGAGAGCCTGGCAACATGCAGACATGTTGAGTCTCGAGTGCCTTTCCCAAACATCTGTAGACACTAGGCAGGCAGCAGACAGAGGCAGAAGAAAGCCTTCTCAATTGCTCTGATACAAGAACACCAAATTTCATGCACTCAAAAGGACTTGTTTTTCTTCTTTACTGGGTAACTTGGGCATCATTTTAATGAAGAAACACACCTGAAATTAAGACAAGGGGATGACAAAAGGGGCCTCACCTGTTACGGAGCTGAGAGCCTGACTGTGACATTGAAGGGGAATGGCTTCGTGGGGTGGGAGACCCTGGGGGGGCAGGGCCTGGGATGACGGCCTTCACTGGGCCCGCTGGAGGCGGTACAGCAGAGGATGGGTTCCGCATGTAGGCACGGTTTGATGTGGACAACAGCTGTGGAGGTGGGCGGCTGAAGTCTTGGACAGAGGAGGAGGCATAGACCCCTGCAGGCTGGTTGTGCCATGGGGACTGCCTCCAAGAACTGGGCCGTTGGGAGTCCAGATTGTCCAGAGACTCCCCTCTGAAACACGGGAAGAAGTCACAGGAGTAAGATGAGCCACTCAACTGGAGATGATCCTTTGGATGCAATGTATCATTGGGGTCAATATAAGACCCATTTTATGTATATCCTAGGCTGTAATAAATCTGAATCCAGTTACGCAATTACTTTTAATAATGAAATTGTTCTGTACCAGAGATATTGTGACATGTCATACTTCAATAGCCTTCTTTAGTGTGGTGCTTAGACCAAAGACTAACTGTCAAAATGGGAAGAAAACTATTTTTTTTCTAGACAGGGTTTCTCTGTGTAGCTTTGCGCCTTTCCTGGAACTCACTCTGTAGCCCAGGCTGGCCTCGAACTCACAGAGATCCACCTGGCTCTGCCTCCCAAGGGCTGGGATTAAAGGTATGTGCCTGAAAACTATTTTTTAAATAAAAGCAAATACTAGAAAGGCAGTCACCCATCCCTTAAATCTTAAACAGTTTAGACATACAAGCCTCAGTCCTTCCAAATTCAACCAGAAAATAAATTTTAAGCATATAATATCATTGAACTAGACGTTTCCAGACATATGTAACTTACTCTTTATAGCACTCTGCAAGGTTGTCTCTAATCTCATAGAAGTGTCTTTAACCAAACCAGGAGTGCGGGAGTAAGGCTCTGACTTCAAATCAAAGTCCCCCTTGACTCCACTGCAACCCAAGCCTGCCTCCCAGACGTTCTCACCACCCCAAGTCCTGTGCGTCAACAACTGTTCAATGTCCACACGACTGGAAACAGTCAATAGCCTCAGACTGAAGACATGCTGAAAACAGGATTTACCTATTCTACAAAAGCTCCCTCTGAATTGCGAGCAACATTCTAGGTGATTTTGTTAGTGCTTTTAAAACTTTCTTCCTATCAGAAGCTTAAACAATACAGCTATTTTTAGCTTAACATCACATGTTATCACAATATATTACAGAGAATGAGTCAAGCAACATGAAAGGGGCTTCTGAGGGTGGGCAAGGGGTTCCTCATTCCCTCACTTTCTATACCTTCCCTAATCCCCAAAAGTAACCACCTTTGTGAGTTCTTACAGATTTTTCTCAGAGATACAAGGAAATATTTACACATACAAATTTGTATATGTAAGTTAATACATGCATATATAGAGATGCACTCAGTATATAGCATTCTTCAGCAAATGGGAACAATATGGTTTTTATTCTTTTACAACAGTTTAAAATAACTTGTTTGCCATTTAATATATATGATCTTGAATCATGTTAATGCTTCTTCATGTGATAGACTATACATCAATGGTCCCCCGAGAAACATGCCTTTTGTATCTGCTCTCCTTTCTAGCCCCTTTCACTGACTCTGGGATTGGCCATGTGGCTACTTTCAAGGGTGGGACATCAGCAAACATGATACTCATGGAGAGTGATAAGCATTTCCATGTCAGGAACTGTCACTGTGAGAAAGGACCCTCTGAATGTGAGTACCATACCACGAGGCAGCTCCAGCAGCTCCATGGGAAGAAGATTACAAAACAAGACCCCTGACTGAGCCCCATGAGGGATCTCAAGAAAGTTCAGCAATATGCAATCCATTGCCAAGATATGCAGAGCTCATGGGCATTTGACATGCTCAGGGTCATTAAAGAAAATGAATACATGACTGAGACCTATGGGGGCTGCCAAACCGTTACTACTATCTCCTTCATTTAAAAGAAAAAAATCTTTCCAACTCCAGAGCTATCGCTGCTCAAGTGCCAAAGCCAATGCCAGGCAAAGAACAAACCAGGCAACCCTCACACCTGGAAGAATTATTATTTTAAATTAAGTATGTTTAAATAAAGAAAGAACACACAAAATTTACTCCATGCCTAAATCCCAAGAGTACTAGAGCCCTTAACTTTCTAACTTCTAAGGTGGTGATTGCACACAGTACATCTTGCACTTCATAATGCTTGCACAGTTTTCTTACTGCTCTAGCAATATTAACTTAACTAGGCACCCTGTTGAGAGTAATATTGTGCCGGATGGTGGTGGAGGAAGGAAGGAAGGAAGGAAGGAAGGAAGGAGGGAAGGAAGGAAGGAAGGAAGGAAGGAAGGAAGGAGAACAATTTTGTGGGAGTGGATAGGTTTATTTTTTTAAGATATCTAATATTGTGTATCCTTATCTTTATCTTTGTGTGTTTATTCATCAATACCCAGAAGATAGAACCCTAGTAAGGAAATGTATACCTTTTCTTGATTTACTGTGAAAAAATTATTGAATCCATTGGAAAAAAAAATTCTTACTTTCTTATGCACTGCCAGTACCAGTTTAATCAATCTCATAATGCTGTGAAAATGCCATAAGCAAAGGATCTATCATTGTCCTTTGAGGAGTGGTATTGATTTTTATATATTTACTGATTGTTTCCTATGAAATACCTACTCACGCCACTTGTCTAGTTTAGATGATACAGATACAGACAGACATAAATACACATGCAGATAAAGTTCTTAGGATTTACTTTTGGGTTTTAAAACAGCTATTTGTATATTGAAATAATCAGTTCTTTATCTGAAACATGTTACAAATAAATTTCCCTAGCTCAGCTGTCGACAGAACACTGACAGAGTAGCTGCAGTATTATTTGCCAAGATAGGTCTCTTAAAATGTCCACCCACTCACTGCTACTTGTATGTACATATTTACCATCTTACAAGTTGCAAAATTAGGTTTTCAGTTTTTGTGATCCCAATTATCATGATTCCAACCTAGCCATTTATCTGATTATGAACATAAGCAGGTTTCTTTCTCTTCAAGCTTAACACAGAAGAAAGGGTGAAATTCATATTTAATTATCTGAATCCCATTTCAGAAGTCCATATCCAGATTTAGAAACTATTCCTGATGTGATCTTGTCCAGTTGGCTTCCCTGCCTCAACTCGTTTCTTCATATAAAAAAAAAAAAAAAAAAAAAAAAAAACAGAGTAACTGGGCCTACTTCAAAACACTGTCCCCTGGTTTAAATAAGATGGTTCAGACACAACTGATGGCCTCGGACACTCAGTAACTTTCCTTCCTTCCCCCTCTCATCAAATCCTGAGTACGCAGAAGTTATGATGATAGCTCACTGAGGGAAAAAAAAAAAAGCCTAGACTGAGACATGTGCCTCCCAGCAAAGAGGAAGTGACCATGAACTGTCTCGTACCTTCTCATGATCCCAGGCAGGCAGATGGGCTCTTTGTTTACACTGGCACTGCGCTGTCGGATCCAGCTGTTGTCATTATGGAGAGATGTTCTCTTCCTCATTTCCTGAAGGATTTGCTGTCTCTCCAACTCTGCTTCTGAGGGGGCCTGATCCTTCTTGGAGCTCCTTTGTGAAAAGCTAGTAGTCCCAATTCGGTCCGAATACTTGCTGCTTCCTAAATTTAAAACAAACCAAAAGCTTCAATGTAAGTACACAAGAAATGTTAGTGGATGGGCCTCCAAGACAGCGCAACTTCCAACCCAACACTACACATCTGTGCTGACACCATCCATCTCTGGCAGGGAGACCTCTGTGGGAGAACAGACAGCAGCTGGCTGCCTCCTCTTCCTGGAAATTCCAGTTCCATGCGCAGAAGCACCCATGAAGTGTGCGTGCAAACATACAATCTCAATCTCTCTCCCCTCTCTCTCCCCTCTCTCTCCCCTCTCTCTCCCTCCTCCATCTCCTCTCCTCTCCTCTCCTCTCCTCTCCTCTTCTCTCTCTCTCTCTCTCTCTCTCTCTCTCTCTCTCTCTCTCTCTCTCAATCCCAGAAATGTTCAGTTACAAAATGTTCATCTAATTTCTCCCTCTTTCCATCAAGTGCACTCATTGAAGGCTTGCTACAAAGACTCTGTGGGGAATCAGGGAATTTTCCTTTACATATATTCTCTGTCCCACCCCAGGGTGGGAAAAGACCACACAAATGAATACATCTCTAATGGACAGGGGCTAAGTGTCCATAGTATAAGTCACAGACTAAGTCATGACCATACTGTAGGACTGTTCAGTCACTGACATAGCCCTGGTGAACAAGAGAAGATGATTGTCCATAATATTATCAAATCTGTTTGTGCTCTAAGAAATTTATAAACTGTAATATAATTATTAGGTTTATTAGTGGCAATTGAGTCAGCTTGCATCCCCAGGGTTTGCTGACTAATTTCCTATTTATGTAAAACACATACAACCTAGAGACATCATCCTTGCTTTTGTTTGGATTACAAAATTTTAACTAAGGATTTTTTTCTTCCCTAAATTCATTGTTATCACCCACTTTCAGAATATTTAGCTTGTCTAGGTACCCCTTCAAGGAAGCAATGAGCCAGGCCCCAGAAGTTTGTCATTATTTTTTAGTACACAGCTACACTTAGTATATTAATAACAACATCAATGTGCTAGCTTTAAATAAAACATTCTTCATTTTAAAACTCGGTTGATGGCATGGCCAAGTCATCCCATCAAATATGTAGTAATTTCCTAGTGTCTGCTAATTCAAGGACATGCGGCTGGCCCAGGGGAGAAGGCACACAGGACCAACTCTCCAAGTGAGACATAAAACAGACGAACGAGCAGCTGTTTCAGATGGCACAGGCGCGCCCTGACAGCCAGGTTTCACTCGGGGCAGAGTACAAACACCACAGGCTAAAAGCATGTCACGCAAGGCAAGTGCACTTAATCTATGACGTTAACAACAGCCAGGGGCAAGTTCAAGGGAGAAGGGCTGCAAAGTCCAAATAGGAATGATCCAGAGATTAGAAGGACCACATTAGAAGTATCTGCTTAGCCGGGCGTTGGTGGCGCATGCCTTTAATCCCAGCACTTGGGAGGCAGAGGCAGGTGGATCTCTGTGAGTTTGAGGCCAGCCTGGGCTACCAAGTGAGTTCTGGGAAAGGCGCAAAGCTACACAGAGAAACCCTGTCTCGAAAAACCAAAAAAAAAAAAAAAGTATCTGCTGAGTGAAGACATAAGAGAGGATGATTGTTTAGAGCTGTGTTTCCTAAAGGGAAAGGTGGATCCAAAATGCTAGGATGTCAAATAGGGCAGAGATAAGCGAAGATCCTATTTACCTGATGACGCTGCCACCTATCCTAATGAAAACTTAATTCTATGAGCTTTGACCAGCATATCAGCTGCCACCAGACCCCAGGCCAATGGGGGAAAATGATTTTCTTATAATGAGTTTTAAATGTTTAAAAGTTTCTTCTCAGTAGTTTAAAAACAGAAATAGCTGGCATCACAGATATGAATTTCCTTAGAGGTCACTGACAGAGCCAATGTTTGTCTGTCTGCTCAATCCCCACCTGAACCTTTCTACATGGGCATAACAGACCAATAATTTGTTTATGCAAACCTGTACATATGATGCTTATTGCTTAGGGCTTTTTCTTTACTTATATAATTTCAGTTATGTGGGGTTAACCAGAACTATATTTTATATCAAGCTTCAAGTTCCAAATGATTTTCATGAAGTGAAAAATCCCTATCACTAAATTTTCAGACCTTTTGCCATTTACATGAATGACTTCAAATTTATACATATTTTTAAGTCCTCTGCATTATTTCCTGTTTTCATTCCTTAGTTGCAAGATAAAATCTACTATGCAAAACCGGGTCAACATTATCTTTGCAAATTTTCCACATATTTCTTGGTTATTCAAATACCCCAGTGCAGTACACTTTCCATTATAAAAAAAAAGCTAAACACAAGACAGTTGTTTTGTTAAAGATACTCAAAATAGCATGTTAACCATCTAATATTAATGAATCTAAAGTTTCCTGCACTTAAAAATATATACTAATCATAGTATATAATCACTCAAATATGTAACTGTGCTTTTTTAAAAAAAAGCTTTGAATACAAAAAAATCACACATACCATTCTTCTCTGTGGGGGCATTGTTCAGTTCCGTAGTGGATCTTGATTTACTCCTAAAATAGAATATATTAAATATGCCAGATTAACATTTTTATTTTATTCCAGAAAAGATGGTTTGGTTTGGTTTTTTGTTTGCTTGTTTTTTCAAGACAGGGTTTTTCTGTGTAGCCCTTTCTGTCCTGGAACTCACTCTGTAGACCAGACTAGCCTCAAACACAGAATCCACCTGCCTCTGCCACCCAAGTGCTGGGATTAAAGGCTTGTGCCACTACACTTGGCAAAGTTTTTTTTTAAATAGATATTGATTTTCTATGTATTTTGGGAACTGTGTTTATTTTTAAACCCTGGAATTTTTCATATTATGCATCCTAGCAGAAAACAGAAGAAATGCTGGAAATACACAAAATGTGAGACCCTCTTTCCTTTCTAAGATGATCGGAGACTGCTCTTCCCATGCTGGCTCCTGCACCAGCCACCAGCTCATTCAGAGTCAGTCTGTGCTACCTCCTCCACACTGCCTGGTATCAAGGTATGGGCACCTAAGGCATCAGAAGGCCACATGTCATTCATCCATTTGCCAAATGCTACCCTGGCATTCCAAACAGGTAGTGTGGCATGTCAACTGCAAGTTACTATGAAAATGCTATTTTCAGGTCTATGGAAGGTAAAACTCATTTCCTCCTTCTACTAAATTAGCTGAACTTCAGAAGTAGTAACAATACCATATACAGATGTGCATATATAGTGTATATCCGCGTCCTGTGTAATAACCTATAATGCATGATAATGTGCTAGAACTGGTAGACAGCTACATCTGTCAGATCATCCCTGTGTTTACAAAGAAAACACTTGTCACCAGATGTTAGGCTGTACTCACCACTGCCTATAAAGTATATATATATTTATAGTATTCTATATTATATAGTATAGTATAATATATAGTATATAGTGTATACTCCCTGATTATATAAATCCTGTCATAGGTCTAAAAGATAGATGTGGAGTAAGCTGGTCTTGAACTTACAGAGATACCTTGCCTCTGCCTCCCAAGTGCTGGAATCAAAATTCTGACCTTTTGCTTGGTTTCTTTCTTAGTTATCTTTTTAACTACCTGCATCTAGGCAGATGAGCAATGCATGAAGGTTTAAACTCTGAAAGTTGATAAGCTGGTGATTCCTAGCTTTTCTCATCTCAGGGCTCTTGGCCAACCGTCAACCTATGTAAGTTTCTATTTCATTATATATTTTAAAAAAAAAGAGGACTAAATATACCTTCTCGTGGAGTTGTGCTGAGAAATAAAGTATGTAGAGTTAATAAAATGATGAGTGAGGGGAGGGGACATTTTAATGATCTCTAGTTTCTTGGAGGGTTCACCATAATCAGGAGGTCATTGATCAGGAGGCTTTTCTCTAGCTACTTTATGTCACTCCTACCTAGTTATTCCTGCTCTGCCTCCTTTCTCCTCAGCCCTGGTTGCCAGTAAATGTGCCTCTTTCCCTGTATCTAATGAAGAAGGTGAGTATCCTACAGGATGCATGCCAGCTCTGTAAGCAAAGGCTAATGAGCCTACAGACGGGATACTTATAGACAGGCTATTCAAAGTCCTTAGTGTTTTCAAAACAGCAAAGTGGTTTTTTTTTAATTACTTGAAAATATTAAAGCTTAATGCTTTCGGAAACTTTAAACACGTGTACCTTGTATCTTTTCTGATAGCTGAAATCCTATTTTCCTTTCTAAACCTGATGAGTGGTTCCAATCATAATGTCTAAGAGAAAGGTCACGATTCCCATCAGATTCCCTGGAAATGATCATTTTTCGGCAATCTTGAGCCACTGCCACTCTTCCTGCCTTGTGAAAGCAAACGATCTCCTGGATAAGGAGACACGCATCTGTAGTCCCAACAGGTGGGAAGGATGCCAGCCAGGGCTACACAGTGAGCAACGGGCAACCTGGAGTGCCTATTGAGACCCTGTCCCAAAATTTAATTTAAACATTGTTCTGCGTGACCAAAAAGGGACATTTTTGTCTACTCGTCTCCTAAAGTGACTCCTCCCACAGGCAGGAGAGCTGCACAGCTTTTGTTTCTCTGATTTGTTTGTTGTTGTCATTGTTTGTTTTTTGAGACAAGGTTTTGCTTTGTAGCCTAGGCTGGCCTTGAGCTCATTATGTTGTTTAGGCTAGCTTTGAACTCACATCAATCCGTCTGTCTCAGCCACCTGAGTGCTTAGATCACAAACATACATCACCTACAGATGACTCTAGCTTGAAGCAGCCTTAGACTTTAGTTTAAACAATAACTTAGATCTCAGTTGTCTTGGAGACTATCTTTCATCATTTCTATTTCTTCTCTGCCCATCCACCATGCATATATGATTCCACTGGCTTATAGTCATTCTCATTTCCCCAAACACTTCCACCAACTCCCCAAAGCAGAGCTTTCTGGATAACTAACAGCAGATGTGTGACTAAGCCCAAACAACCAAAATTTCCAAATGAACTCAGCACAAAATGCTGAGCCATAAAATCATAAGCTAAGTTTAAAGGTAATTGTTACACAGCAAAAACTAACTGATACAAAAAACAATCTTCAAGTTGTTTTTGTTTGTTTGTTTTTGTATTCCACAAGACAAAAGGCTACAGTAGCTCTACAGATTACCTAGGTGAACTGAGGAATAGTCATCTGAAGCCAACTAGTATCAACCAAGTAAAAGGCAATAGTCCACACACCTGTCACTAGGAAGCAGCCCTGAAGAGTCCTCTTCTCTCTTGGGTATATCATAGGAATCAATAGGCCTATAAAGTAAGGAAAATTTTTTTATTACAATACCAAATTTTAAGACATTTCCTGACTTTAGGGATATCAAAATAGTATTCTGGTCTCTTTATGCAAATTGTCTATAGCTTAAGAGCTAGACAAGCCTTTCAATCAGTTGCTACAGAAAACAGACCTACAGGCATTTGCGAATCACATGTCCAGTCACCCATTTACTGTATAAGTATACACTGGGGTGGCTGGGAGCTCTGTGTTCCGGCAATGATTTAGGGCTACAGAAATTATTTTTTCAAGTTGTTGCTTTATAACACATCTTCTTAGGGTAGGCAGGCCAAGAAGAAAATAATGCAAGCTAGTGCGGTATAGAAAGAAATGGTGGGAAGGCAGAACTGGGTATTCTGGAAAGGCTAAGGTGGTAATGTCAGGGTAGACATTGAAATCAAATGAGTGGGCCATACATATGTGAGGGAAATCATTTTCAGAGGTAACAGAAAACCCTGAAGTCCAAGGCAGCGCCTGCTGGCATTCTCACAGAAGGAAGGGAGACAGTAACCAGGGAAGAGTCTAAATGCTAAGGGCTAAGAGCTCTTAGCCACGCTCTTAGGCCAAGACAAAGCTCACATGAGCTTTCTAGCTTTGGCAAGGAGTTTTGATGGCGTTGTAACATGTCAGGAACCCATGCAAGAGCTGTGGGAATTAAAGGGGCACACTGCTGTTTGTGGTTTAAAGGCTCCTGGGAACTGGTTGCTTCCCTTGTGTGAAGCAAGAATGGCAGAGGGGGGAAGACAAAACAGGGTGCACCAAACAAGGCCACTACTATTGAAACTCCTCTGTGCCCTCAGCTATGGGGACTGACCTCCGGTACTGGTAGATCTTCACCGAAGTTTCTCTCTCCCTCTCTGCCTGGTGCTTCTGTGTTTCAGCTCGTCTTTCTGCTTGAGCCTCGGCCTGGGCCTGGGCCACTGCACGGGCCTTAGCTTCTGCCTCAGCCTGGGCCTGGGCCTCTGCGCGGGCCTTAGCTTCTGCCTCTGCCTGGGCCTGAGCCTCAACCTCCCGCTGCTTCCGAAGTTCTTCTTCCTGAGCTTCTTGTTCCTTCCGTTTCTTCTCCTGCTCAAGTGTGAGCTGTTCCTGCAGCCTCCGACGTTGGTCCTCATAAACAGCATCCTCTTCCAGCTGTCCCCTCTCCTCCTCTCCTGCTCGGGTTCCTTCCCTGTCCGAAGACTTGGACCCTTCACTCCAAGTGGGTTCCCAGGTGGAAGCCACAGGCTCCCGTGTGCTCAGAGAAATGCTGTTGGAGTTTAGAACCATCAGCTCCTAGGTAGCCAGTAAAAAGAAAAAAAAGAAAGAAAGAAAGAAAGAAAGAAAGAAACACGTCACCATCTGTGTCTCTGTCATTTCACACAGATTCAGCTCTGGATGAGAACAATGGCAAGCATCCCAGAATTTCAAGAAGATAGTTACAGCTCAAAAAAAAAAAAAAAAGGCTATGTGAATAACTGAAGTCTAAGAGCAGAAAGACCACTCAAGTTCTAGGTAATAACTACTTGATGATACATTAGAAAAACTACTAGAGAAGTTAAAATACCAAAGCAAGTTTCTAACACACGAGACTTCAATATATATTCCAAATTGCTGCAGAGGGGCGAGTGTGTCCAGGGAACTGGGGTGTGGTGCTCCTTGCCTAGGTCCTGCAGCAGGGGACAGAGAAGGAAGGAAACAAGGCATGCTTCATGCTACCTCATCCAAGTACTTGGAATTCTCTCTCTCCGCCTCCTGCTGGGCCCTCCGCCACTCTTCCCTCAGCTTCTCTTGCTCACGCTGGTATTTTTCCTATGGGGAAATATGGCATAATAATTAATCACGGTTGCCTTCTCATGGGAGGCAGAATAGTTTCCATTAACAATTTTGCTATCTCCAAACCTCCAAATAAAACTGTCATGTGACCAATCAGAGTTCAGTCCCTGAAGGAAAAAAAAAAAAAAAGGTCTTGCATTAAGCTAAAATGCAGATGTCCAGATGTCGGGGGAAAAGTAGGCACATGGAAAGAGACCTCTGCTCAAGCTTTACTGTTGATGTAATTCATCAAGGCCTGCAAGCTAGGATAAGGGAGACTGATGGCAAAACAGACCTCCTCCGCTGGCAGGGACAAGTCCTCACAGGCTGAGCCTCTCACAGACTGAGCCCCTCATGTCTCCAAAGTGTCCACAGGGGTTCATGATAGTTTATACAATCATCAAAATGGGAAAGTAAGGGTGTAATGCAAAATACGCACACAATATACAAAGGGTTTGCCAGTGCTGAGGATGCTGGCTTGCGTCTGCTTTTTCCCAGCTGGCTCCTCAACCCTGTTGGGCACTGGCCAGAGAGCTAAGGCCCCCGTCCCCCCAGGTGTGTGTGGTACCTGAAGTAGGCGGTCCTGTTCTTTCTGCCACCTCTCCTGCCGTTTCCTCTCCTCCTCTTGATCCCATGCCCAGCGACTCGGGGCATTGAGGGTTGGAACCGGAAGCTAGTCAGTTTGCGGCACAAGAGATGTAAACACAGAGCGACATCTGTGAGTCATCGACTGAAACTTTTCCACACTCGTCAATTATTCATCTGTGCTGGCTTAAACCATACCAGGGAAGACATGGTCTCGCATTTCAACGTCAATCTTTTTAGCGTAGAATAGTACAACCCGATCGACATTTATGTATCTTAAAACAATGCATATATAATCCCGTCCCGCCAAACGTCCCTCCCATATTCCCAACTACAAAAGTCTAATACTCACATCGGGAGCCACAGAATCGGCGCTCCCTGCATTGCAGCACGTGGGCAAGGAAAGAAGAAAAGCACAATGTGAGTTGCCATTTCTACAAAGTAATTCTTTCCAGGGCGTTCGATCGCTCGCTGTCTCTGCCGGTATGCCAAGTGACATCAGTTTTCTTTGTAACTCAGTCACCCATGCAGCCTTTCCATTCAGCTCCACCTGTACTCCTCTCCCAAACTCAAATTCAATAAGAGCGGAAACCACTGGGGCCCCAAACTCTAGGGAACAGCACTAACTCGGTGAGCCTTTCCTTAGAGGCTTTGCTGATACTAAAATGTCTCATAGTTTGGCGTAATAGGGGGAAAGAACACAAACATTACTACATCTCCCAAGCCCAATTATTGCAAATATTCATCAAAAATATGACAGCAGCCATTCTCATTTTCTAGGTCTCCTTGCTAATGAGCTGCTTTCTAATTGATATGATGGCAAAAAACAAGTTCAAGACACCTTTCATCTTCTACTATTTGAAATACAGGTATTCAAGGACGATGTGTAAACTATCAGGCATTATTATTATTAATTATTATTATTATCATCATCATTATATCTTGCTGCTGTTTTCTGAAACCAGGTCTGACCTCAAGCCAACACTGACTCTGAACGTTTAGCCTTCCTGCCTCCATCATCCATGTGCTCGGATTACAGGTGTGGACCACCCTGCCTGGCTAATTTTTTTTATTACTATTTTGAGACATTACTTAGTTCAGGCTGGCCTTGAACATTTAATCTTCCTGCCTACTCTTTGTATTAGAGCTGTGTATGACTACACTGGGCTAACATCATCAAGGAACTTATAGTAATGTGTGTCAACACATTATACAATTATAGAAAAGTGAATTTTCAGAAAATATGCTATTATGCAGTATTTAGAAAGTTTCCTGAATTCTCAGCTGTCACATAAACTGTTCACTTACATAACTATTTAAAGAAAATTGCTTTAAGAGTTCTTCTCTAAAATAACTCATTGAAGAAAAGAGAAAACTAAAAGAAATTATTTTGTTTTAGCCAGATGAATTACAAGTGTGTTATCACTTCAATTGACTAGCCAGAGAAAATAGTGAATTTAGTGAAAACCTATGAATCAAAAGCACCCAAGACAGCTGATAAACTCTATTTATGGTCTGAGAGGAAACGTAATCTTCCTTAGGAAGAATATTAGGCAATAAACACAACAGACACAAACCCAGTAGGTATCACAAAGTGAATTTTGAAATGTTTCATTAATCTTTAAAGGAACAGTAACATTTTTAGATAGCAACAGTAAATCTTCTGTGATGCTGCATCTAAAATGTTAGCTATTACTTTTAAGTTCTTCATAGCAAAACAGAGTTGGAACCACATTCAGGAGACAGAGCGTTAGACAAATGTGAGGATGAAGAAAAGCCACATGCATCACACCTCACAAGGCAGCCATGCACAGCTACACCAACATAGACGGTCTCACAACGCTCCTGTGCTCAGATGCAACCGAATTTTCTTTATGTTGAATTTCCTTTGACATCAACAGAGCCATCGTTATCAGCCCCTCCACCGTCAATCCAACAGCAACAGGTAACTCTGTCCTTCATCAACAGTATCCCCCCGTGACCAAAAACAGGGGTTTGTTTTTCGGTAAATTGACCAAACATATGTTGGTGTAATTTAACACTGTGCAAATGATAGGAAGCAGTAAGGCATAAATGAAATTCCTCATTTCTTACGGTGACCCAGTGGAAAAACACGTGTGTTTAATAGCATCTAACTGCTTTGAATATTTTGTTTTTTCACGAGGTTAAAAGAGAGAAACACCTGGAGAGCTAGACAAAGGACACGCAAAGACCCATTACCACAAAGGTAGACCCATGAGCTGTAAGAAAAGCCTGGTGACCCTGGGGAAAGAACGGAAATGGGTTACGTTGCTTGGTCACAACAGCAGCAAGATGGAAGGAACTCGGTGCCCAGAGCCACAAACTACGAGGAGGGGTGGAGAGACGAGATCACGAGAGCCCACCAAGAGGTCGCTTTACAGTTTACCTTGTTCAAAAAACTGTGATCGCCTTTTTAAATTTCTCAAAGAAATGGATTCTGATGCTAGTTGAAAAACAAGAAAATAAATACCATCATTCAATTTAATTTCTTACCACTGGTAAATTCGATGACACTTGATATTGATATACCTTTCCAACCTGTAGCAATGTTATTTTTTAAATAACAAAATTGGTAGCCACTGAAGATAGAGATTATTTCAGGGCAGACACACATATTTTAGTAGACTGCACTACATTAAAATTAGTAAAAGAAACAAATACTTTTATTAATTGTGTTTAGTAAATAGCATTGGACTTCCACAGCGAGGAGAGCCATACTAATCATGTTAGAGCACAGGGCATCTGAGAAATGAAAACACATTTTGCTTAGGTCAATCAACCTAAAATGATCTCTACCAAAGCATTTTTACAACATGATGAAGGGAAATTTAAAAGTATCTGGAGAAGAAGACATCAAAAGCAATACAACCTAAAGAATGAGCAAGTGAAAACAAATGCTAAAACTAATATACCTTTGATTAGAATATCTCGGGGTAGTATTTAAGAATGTACAGATGCAGCCGGGCGGTGGTGGCGCACGCCTTTAATCCCAGCACTCGGGAGGCAGAGCCAGGCGGATCTTTGTGAGTTCGAGGCCAGCCTGGGCTACCAAGTGAGCTCCAGGAAAGGCGCAAAGCTACACAGAGAAACCCTGTCTCGAAAAACCAAAAAAAAAAAAAAAAAAAAAAAAGAATGTACAGATGCTAGCTTACTGGAGGTTAGAAAGAAAAAGAAAACACAATCTGACTTCTCCCACAGACAAGTCTCCAAACCATGATGCAAACTGTAGATATCACCTGATAGTGGTTGATGCTTACTATCTAAACAATCCTGAAGTAGCTAGCTAGCCCTGCATAGAGTCGCACGGTCACCATGTAGGTAAGGTGTCTTATCAATTGGCCATTAGAAGAACAGAACTGGTATTCCTTAGATTTTAGTATCATGAAGAAAAATAAGCAACGTTTATTTTAAAAGTCATCAAAGATAATAATCATAGAGAAGAGGCAAATTCATAAAGTTTAGTCAGCTTTGTTCAGCATATTTATAAACTACCCAACTGTGTCTAAAGTCACCAAAGCAAGCACAGCCCCACTACAGGAGGCCTGGCCTCATGGTGTAAAACCTGCAGCCTCTTCTGACCTCTTTCCTGCCTATATGGACCTGAAAGATCTTTCTGATATATCTACGGAATAACACACAGCATTCAGTAGCTAAATTATTTCTGAATGGTCAAAGCAGAGAAGAGAGTGAGAACTCTAACCACGCCCTGGATACTTCCACTGCTTTCTTTTTCAAGACAAACAAAGGTGACCCTCTCTACTGTCACTGTCCTGTCGTTGGTGATTCTCTGCCAGGATCAGCTCCCTGCACATTTGTCCTTTTCAGAATAAAGAAGACAGAAAGGAAACCTCATCATTTTGTGTTTAATAAAGATCCTTCTGCGAACACTCCAGAGCCAGGAAGCTGCTGGCTCTAGGAAAACCTGTTCTTCTTATTTGGCTTAGGCTCACAGGGACCCAGAGCTCCAGAGCCTGCTGCCAAATTTGCATTTGTAGCTCCTGAACTGTTCCACGCTGGAACCGACTCCCTCCCACCTGGTGGCAACCGGATCTATGTGCTAATCTTGGTTTCAGCTTGCTCTGCATCCAGCTTTCTTTCACTCACATATATTAATTTTTATAGCAGAACTGGAGAGCTAGAACTCACCCTGTGGAACAGACGGAAGTAATTTAGGGATAATCTTTACCTTTTGAATCAAAGGTGTTGCTTTCCTCATGAATTCCATTGATTTCTTTGGATTCAGTATACTGGAAAGGGTAAAAATGTTAATTAACATTCTCTCCAATTGGACTTTGGCCTTAAATAATACATCTCTCATTAGGGGAAAATATCTTTAAACAAGATGGGGTTTTCAGGATATTGATTCATTACTCACAGCTTCTTGTGTGTACTAAAAGCAATTTTTTTCATTACTCTCCAATACTTGTGAAAGGATTAATGACTAGCTATAGGCAAGAATGACCATAAGTTTAATCAGTCATTAATATTCTAAGAGGCATGATAGATAAAATATTCATACATTGGCTTATATTTATGAATTTATGAGTATTTGGCTTATATTTATGTGTAATAAAACAGCCATTTATGATTCTTTAACATTTAAATCCATCCTTCAAAAATGTAATATTTCCTTTTAGATAAGCTTATTCAGTTCAAAGTTTAAATTATCAATTAAAATGAATTCTGATTAGAAATAGAAACCAGTTTTTTAAAACTATATGAAAAAATACTGCTTTAAATTTTTGAAATTTCCTGCATTTTACTTTTTAAATCAATTCATGAAACTGATTATGTCTTAATCACACATATAATCCAATTAAAATGCTTCATGAGGTTTCATGGTGTACAGAGTGACTATATTTTACCAATAGACTACAGAACACAATTTACAGCATACAATTTTTCACAATTGCTAGTTCTCATTCACACTGATTAGAGGGATGGTTGCAATGACAAAAGACTGATGAGAAATACCTGCAGAGCAACACTATGGAATGACATTACCATTACATAACTCAATAGTAAAAGGCCGCTAATAAAAAATGTCCAGTATTTTCAAGACTATACTTTAGTCTATTTATTAAGTATAACCTAACTATATTTTATATAATTTCAAAACTGGTTGCTTTCCCCACATACAGCTTCTGCTGTTACTTTGTTCTACTTACAGGACTCTGAAGGCTTTCAGAGAAATCAGTTGTTACCGACAGACTTGAAGACTTGTCCGTGTTGTAAATCCCTGAAGTCGTATCAGTCCACTTGGTTTCAGGTGAACCTATAATTTTGGTAGCCACACTGGTAAGATTGAGGGTTTTATGCCGTATAGATGGCAGGGGAGGTTGGTCTCTGCCCCAGTCTGATTGGCACATGAAGATCAAGTAATGAATGCACATCGATGTTGAAGTGGAAAGAATAAAGTTACTGAATGCACAGACACAAAATGTACAGATGACAGACAGACGTACAGTCAGACAGATGAATCAGGTAGTGTGTCAATGACATGGAGACTTAGGGCTTTTACCAGCAGACCACCTTCCCAAAACCCAAAGGTTAAAAGTCATGGTAGTCACAAGAGAACTAGCAAATGTGCTGATTCTTTCCCTAGACTGGAACTCATGTTATGTGCCAACATCAAAAATTTGTGGGTCTGAAGCCTTAATGCCCCTTCCCATCTAGCTATCACTTATGACACAGAAACACAAAGATGTAAAAAGCAGATTAAAATGCTATGAGAGGAATATGTCCTACTGTGCGCCTGGTGACAGCAGTACAGTTAAATACGACAGACAAAGTCACATCACAGGGCCATTCTGTTTTCCTTTTTCTTTTGGGAAGGGAGGTGGTGTTTGGTTTTTGAGACAGGGTTTCTCTGTGTAGCCCCAAAAATCCTGGAACTCACTCTGTAGACCAGGCTGGGCTCAGAACTCAGAGATCCACCTGCCTTTGCATCCCAAGTACTGGGATTAAAGGTGTGTGCCACCACTGCCTACCTCAAAGTGCCATTCTTAATGCTCAGCTTTGTGACTCCTGGGAACAGATATATTTGCTTTTAATTGGCATTTGCTTTCAGCCAGTTCAGTTACGTGTCTGGTCAAACGGTGTCGAATTCAGTAGATTTGCTAGTGAAGCATTTTCAGGAGGAATATTCAGAGGTAGTGTTCATGATTTGTCCCAATACAATGACAAAACAATTGCAAGCACAAAGCTAAGTAAAATGGGGTAAGGGGGAGGATTAATAAAGCCAACTGTTACAACCACCCGCCAAAGTCAGGTTTCCTATTTAGCAAGCCAGACACAGAGGGAACCTAACTCACCAGACTTTCCATAGCGCCTGACATCCATCACCAAGTTTCCAGTTTCTTGGGCATTTGCCATGGTTTCCTCCCACTTTTTCGTATCCTTATATGAAAACTTGGTGTTGTTGATGGCAAGAATTTCATCATCTACCTGCAGCTGAGAAAATTCTGCTGGGCTACCTAAACAATGTAAAGTAAAGTTAAAAATCAAATGAAAAGGAACCCACACGATCTGCTCCCTGTTGTTTCTTTACGTTAAGGAAAATGACTCTTTCATCTCAACTAGCTCTTTTTTTTTCCAGTAGAGAAGCAGCACTGGTCTTTTTACGTTATCTAATAGCCGAGTCCCTACACCACAAGAAGTACCAGGGGCATTATTCATTTCAGAGTCTGCATCTTCATTTACAAGGAGAAATGGTAAGTTCAGCCAATGAACAAAAATTAACTCTTCTAAGGACAAAGAAAAATATAATTTTTTTAAACTAAAAATGTGAAATATATTATACTTTAATTAATCATCAATTAACACTCTGGGGTGGGGGATATAGGAGGAAAGAGTCCCTTCAAACTGCATAAAATTACCACTGGTTATACCAATCTTGAAGTTTAAAAGAAAGAGCCAATGTCAACACACAATTCTGTATGATAAAAATATGTAAACAGGGACCTCCTCTCAATTAGGATAGATCTCATAGTAGTTTTCAACCTTGAGGGCAAACTGAGCAGTTGCTGGGTTTGCCTTGGTATAACCCTGGCTCTGGGAGGAGTAAACATCCCACAGACATGCCAAAGCACCCTGAACATATAATAAATAACAGATAAGACACTAACAATACTTAGAAAACATCATTCCTGTTAAGGAGTGACCAGGGACAGAGGACCCAGCATGTATGACACACTTGGGTTTAAGTTACTACAAACAATACCCCCCCATGTTGACCTATTATAGGCCTGTATATATCTGCCACAAAACACAATTATCCTTGGAAATTTTACACTAAGTCTTCAGATAAGTACTACTTGTTAACATTTCTAGAAACTGAGTTTTAAAAAAAAATTCTCTAAGGTCACAAAATAGAGACTCTTCAAAATGAAAATGAATTAGGAAGGGAGAATAAACAATATGTAATGTGTAATTCCAACTACTAGTCTTGTAGGCAAGACTATACCACTTTCCTCGACTGAAATGTATCTTTTCCATGTGCCCCCCACCATACCCATACCAAATTGCTTCTAATTCCCACACACACCGCAGCCAAGGTAGTTCAATATAGTTAGGCATGTGATTTACCTTTTTCAACTGATGCTACGAAGATCCCAGGAAAATCCCATTTTATTGTAAAGCCAAAGTCAGGTTTGTTCCCAGGCGTCTGGTTTATGCTGATTCTCATGTCGCTGAACTGATCCTGAAAGTAAACATGAAACGCTGGTATCAGGTGTCCCTGGCACCCACATGGAGGAAAACCTATCCATGAAAGACGGGAAGCCACACCAAGATACACCTGAGTCAGCTCAAGACAAAACAGCAGCTTCCCATTTTCTTCCTTGGTTTTGATATAACTTTCCTTTGTATGTATATGATAGAGTACAACTTTCTGCTAAAATAAGGTAAGGACAAGTCTATTGTCAACCAATGTTTTCCTTCATTTCAATATAATCCTACAAACAAGTTGGTCATTAATGAAGTCAAGGTTTTTCTATTGCTTTTCCTATAGCCATGGTCTGTTCATTTCTCTCCATCTTCTTCCTCACCATATGTAAGGGAACAGAATTAAATGCTTAGATTATTTAAATAAGTAAATAACTGAATAAAGTCTAGGCTTTTGTTCACCATACAAGCAAGTCTAATTTACAAACCACTTATTCACTGCCTAAGAACAAAAACAGAATAATTTAAATTATCTGTTTTCAATGACAGATTTTACAGCAGTAGATTAAAGCAATCTACCTCCAACATTAAGCATTTGTAGCTGAATTGGGCAAACGGCCTGCAGATGTATAATCAGCTATCCGTAGGAGTAATTCATCTGAAATTGACCAGTTCTGTCTCCCTGTACATATCTGTTGGTTCAACTGGTTCATGGGAATGCAGAGACAAAAGCCTTGCTGATGCTCATGCTATAAAATACAGAATTCTGTTCTCTCATCTGAGAGAAACTGTAAACAAAGCCATCCAGAGGGACAAACAATGGCTCCTTTGACGATACAAGCAGGTGCTAAGTTTTATGAACACATGGAAGAACAATATATGCTTCAATTATTCACTGAGCAACATCCACTTACTGTGCTTGGACTCAGTAAAACATGGCATTTAGCACTTTAGAAAAGAAAGATGAAGGAGGCTTGATCCTTGTTCCTAAGAATAATTGTATTCCAGGGTAGTTCTGAGGGCCTTCTAAAGCAAGAAGAGAGTATAGCTAATAACACAAAGTTTCCACTGGGAACCCTTTTGAAAGAGCATGTAAATAGAGGCATCCAGATGTCCTCATGATGTGTGTTATTAATGAGACTGCTGAATGTCAATCCAAAGGTAATAAAACTTGGCTGAGAATAGACTAGAGAAAGTTACCAGTTGGTTCTACTCCTTAGCCAAAACCACTACACACTTAAATTAGAGGGGACTCAGGACTCAGTGAAGGAAGTGGTCATCTTTACCAGGCTTGCACATACAAAGACCTGAGTTAAAGCCCATGCAAGGATAGAATCTATTGTTATATGAAGACAGAAAGACAAATGAGAAGTTAGGTAAACCAACCACTAATTGGGGTTTTAATAGTTGGAGAATAAAAGATGAGATGGCATTTTAATAAATAGTCTCAAACTACATTTTAAAAATGTTCTGTGGGAGACTGCAAGTGAGCATTATCCTTTTCTTCTTAATAAAAGATGAAGGAGAATGGGCTTCAACATAGAGGGAAGAGCTTCACAACTACAGTAAATCAGTGGAACTGTCCCCAAAAGGCTATTCTGAGCTTGAAAATTAAGAAATCTCTGAACACACTAAATAAAAGAGCAGGTACCCACCTCTCTGAACCTGCTAACAGGGAAGAGGGCTTTGCTATGGCTACATGCTGGCTGGCTGTACTGTCCATCCTTGGGACAACACACAGGCAGAAAAGAGGAACATATGGACAATTATGGTGAATCACTGTCGATATCCAAGTTATCTCATGCATGGCATTGAATGGAATAGACCTTTCTCTCTCTGACACTGACTTTCAAGCTTTTTATGAAGAACCTTATTTTCACATGACAATATTATGTACACAGCATCCTACCCAAAACATATAGATTCATATGTGTACATGATGCACAAACATGCACTCATGAATGCATGCACACAATATTAAAGTGTGTGATAGTGTGTTGAGGATGAGGGTTGTTGGTCACAGACTCCCAGGTGTATTATCTCTGCCTTGTGGAATACTTTAGGGCAATCCTGTGAAGTGTTGGCTTCATGGATTACTAGATTATAGCCAAGACTTCTTACATGCAAACATAGCTATGACTGTATTCATCCATGAACTATTCAATGATGATTTCAGACAGGATATCTAAGTTTTAACTGTCTCTATGAAATTTCAGCCAAATGAGTGTTGTACAAAGGATCTGAGCTACAGAAGATAATTGGGGAGTTACCTTTTTGAACTAGATGGAACAAAAATATAAATTATCAAGGGAAACCTAGAATTTCAGTGACTAAGAAATGAACTATCCAAGTAGTTTCAGTTGTCCATGCCAGAAAAGAGAAAATTATAGTCATCCATCAACAGTTCAGCATTTAAGCTAAAAGCAATTTCCCTCAGACTGGCTACAATTTGAACAGAGGCACCCACTAAAAGTAGACTGCCCTGCTCACTGCCAAACTGATGAGCTACAAGGCGATTCTAACTGTCTAAAAACAAGGGTGACCTGGTATCACAAGAGTACGAATTATTTCTCCTAGAGTTGATGAATTAAGATTTCCATGTCACCCCAGATGGGAATTAATGAAAACCAGAGTCAATCCTACGCACTAACAAAAGTGTTCCCTCCCAATGTTTCCAACTAGACAAATGTGTTGACTTAAGGAAAACCTCCTCATTTGATTAAAAAAAAAAATGACACTAAAAGCAGGTTTGGGTGACACAAGCCAGAATAATAGAGAAAATAATCTTTAAATTTCTGTCCATATGGTTTCTTAGTGCATTCCAGGGTCTCCTTGGGATGAGAACCAGGAGGAAGTGGCCTTTAAATCAAAGCCCTGCTCTGGTACTGGAGCCATCTTCACTCCCCAAAGATGTACCTACATCTTTCTCCACCCTCGTAGATTTACCACTACAGAGAATCAGGTGGCCTTCCTACCCACCTCTACCGGCTTACACAAGCCTCCCAAGCTTCTCTTCTATCTACAAGATCCAACTAAAGTGTGTGTATCCTACCAGGCACCTCCAATGATTGCCCCAAATTGGGGAACATTCTTCTAAGTCACCTATTATCCCACTCTACCTTCCTGGCTGCCCTCAGTCTCTGTAGTCACATCTTCATCTTGTCAATGTGTCCTTTTCTTTTTCACCTTGTAGTTCCTCAGTCATTCCTAACCTTTCTGGCCGTGTGTTTTCCTAAGTCACATGCACTCATCAACGAGTCTTCAACTACTAGGTCCAACTGTTCCACAATTAAAACATCTGCTCCCAGACGTGCTCTGCTTCCTCCTGCTTTTCACATCTAGGTTGCATGCCTCACTACCCTGCTGGCTGTGCGACCTAGAAACGCCTCTCTCCACTTTCCCCCTGTTGCCCTACTCACACTTTTGATAATGTACTCTCATGTTCACAGACGATGACAATGAATGACCTCATCTCTCCATCCTTCTACAAGTCCCCATCATGGTTCAGAGGCACATTTGCCCTCTCTCCCCTTCTCACCTCTTTGTCTTTTGTCTCTCCAGCCTTCCTTTCCCACAGCTGCCAGAACTCTACTTATGGAACATGCAGATTACACCACAACCCACTTTTACATTGCCAATAGCTCCCTAGTACCTGTTTGGTAGAATTCAAATTCTACATTTCTGAAATAAGTTCAGTTCAGGTGACTTTCTATAAATATATGCCACCTTTCCTCAAAATGATTTTAAGGATAATTTCATTGTCAAGTATGGGGGTGAGGTAAGAGAGCTGAGTTTGAGGCCAGTTTGTGATAACTTTATCTCTGCAGGTCAGAAGATACTTTGATCTCTATTGGTTATAAAATTCTAAAAACATTGCAATGATAAAAATAAGTCAGCAGCGGCTGAGATGGTTTGATGGGAAAGAGTGCTTGCTGTTCTTCTGGAGGAATCACCTGTAACTCAACTCTGGTGGATCCAACACCCTCTCCTCTTCTGGCTTCTGTGGACACCTGCACACACGTGACATGCATACACACACAGACAGATACACACATACAAATAATTTAAAAAAAAATAAGTCAATACCAATGTCTTAATTATATAAGGCAATCCTCAACTTTGAGCATGCCATAATGGAGGAGGAGGGATTGATCATGATTAATGGTTAGCGTATGAGAACCTGGAGTGAGGACTATGTATTTCACCAGCCTGGGGCAAGTCACATGACTGAGCTTTCAAGTATATCACCAGTAACTCTAGAGACAATAGCACCTGCTTTCAAGGTACTAAGAAGATTAAAGGAAACATTTAAAAGGTGCCAATACCTGAGGCTGATGCTCCAGACTTTTCTTTGTTTTCCATAGAAATAACATTAAACATAATATACATGCTAATTAAGCAGTTTCCAGATGAATTAAATAAAATCCTATTTAACTCGTATAAACTTAGTTTGCAAGCCAAGAAGACACAGTCACATTAAGGTCCTGTGGTAACAGGAGAAAGACGATGTTGCTTCCCACCTTCACAGTAAGCTGGCTCTAGTCAGAGGTATAACATAAAAGGCATGGTATTAAACTAGAATAAGGAACACCCCTGCTGTTTAACGGGGTTCTTTGTCAGCACTGGAGGGATTGAACTTAGATCCTCACAGTGGACAAATGCTCCATGACTGAGCCATATCCAGTTCATAAATGGAATGAAAATCATGTAAGAAGCCTCCTCCTTTAAAATGTACTATTATTCAGCTTCTGTGAATTGCTTTAAAAGGCTGGGACAGAGATTTGTGTGGCATTTTCAAGCAGGCAGCTCTAAATAGGCAGAAAACAGAAACTTGTAAGCAAAACAAGCATGGAGAGGGAATCTTGAAAGCCATATCTACAAGGTAAGGCTAGGGAGGGGTGAGGAAGGACCCTCAGTGAAATCTCTTTCCCTCCCCTTGGGTCTCTTGGCAACCCGGATTGAGCAGGGAGGCAGGGAAAATGGCAACATCCCCAAGAGAAGAGGGGAGGGGAAGACAGGTGGTGGGAGACCACCAGCTCAGCAACAGAAGGAACAGGAAATTGCATGGGCAGAGATGGATGCAGTCATGTCAAGGTCTTTCCTTCACCGTGCCTTCCCAGCTTTATAACAGAAACCACCCTGTCAGCGCAGTTCTGTGATGGGCTCCTGCCTATCCTCGGTCTTGCATACGTGCTTCCTTAAAATACTGCTCTGTAACATCACAGAGCTTGCATTTCAAAAACACCCCTCAACTCTAAAGTTCCCACACTCAAGAAACAAACAATTTGAAATTGCCTCCTAGATCAAGTTCATCTTTTAAGCTGGTAACCAAGGCCTTGAATGTAGCTTGAGTCAACATTGCTGTAGGTCCAGTCAGTATTACCTGACAACTGTATGTGGACTAAAAGGTACAATTAATCTATGAAGGAGGAAGACATGGATGGATATTTGCAGCAGGAAAGAAGTTGGTGAGTGAAACTTGCAAGAATCAATTCAACTCCAACCAGGAGGATGAAATATGTGGATCATGAAAGAAGTGGTTTTACCTGGCTTTGAAGGACTTGAAAGGCATTAAACAGAGAGATAAACAAACAACTCCAAATGGAAGAAATAATAACAAACATATGTTATATGTGCAAACTAGCTTTCTTTAAAAGCTCAGGCGCCTTTCTTTCCCTTGGTGTAGTTAGAGGTAGGCAGTATTGCGTAAAACTTCCCGAGTTTAGATCCTAACTCCATCACTTAGTGCCCTGGGTGGTCTTGAAAAAGTAGTGTGAGCATCTATGCATTCAGTTATCTGTGTGAAAGAATGATGATGATGATGGTGAGGATCTCACAGGGCTGCGGTAAGTGTTTACTCACACAATAACCCTGTGAAGTTTGTCTAGCTCACGGTATGCACTCCCTGAACAGCAGTTTGTACTGAGGTAAAATAAAGGGAGTCTGAACTCATTCATGAAGAACATCAGCACTCCACAGAGTGTCCTGAACTTCAATCAAAGAACAAAATGCTTTAGGAGACTCTAGAAAACACAGAAATGACTGAGTCTCATGTAGAACAAACACCCAAGGCTACTCCGAAAAATGACCTGGGTTACAATACTGGCAACAGAGATTAAAAAGGGTAACAGTGTGGGAGATCCTGAAGGCAGAAATGCAAGGCTATTAGCAGCAAAAGCCCAGGGTGGTAACGAGGAAGACCAGAAGAGAATCATTTTACAAAGCTACCGAAGCATCTAGATGTTCAGCCACTCACTGTTTGTTTGTGTTCTATGACTACCTAGAATTACAGAGCTTGAGCAAGAATGTGAAGACATACAAGGACCCTGTATGTCTCATGCATCAACTGTTGCGTATTCACAGCCTCTCTGCTCCATAAACTACTCATCTGGTAGCATGGACATGGATAGTCCAAATAGAAACAGACAAGTCACCATATGAAATACAACAGTGCCCAAGAATTCCACTAGCTTCAATGGTTAAATGAAGCCAAATCTTCCCTGGTAGAATAAGGCTTCAAACTCGAAGAAAACAGCATAAATCTACTATGATGAAATCTGAAACAAGGCCAGGTTAATTTGGGCTTCTCGAAATTGCCAGAGTGTAGGACACACCCACACTCCACACATGGCCTCTTTTTCTTAATCCTGTTTGGCAGCTGCCACCCTGAAGGAGGGTCCGACCCATCATCTAGCAGGCAGCACATTCATCAAGCTGTTTTGTGAAGTCTGCTCTCTGGAAGGGTGTAGGCAACATAAAAATCCACAGAACAGAAGACAACTTGCCTCTGCTATTGTTATTCACCGATGGAAACCTTACATTCCCCAAGTATAGTACAGAAGTACTGTCTCGTCCACTGAGACCTATAATGCTGACCATACAGACCTAATTCTTTTAAAAAAAGTATCAATAATTTATAACTGATGATTTTTGCAAGCTGAAAAAGTTGTCTTAGAGATTCATTTGTAAATATGTGTAGGAAAAAAACTTTTCTAAAACAGAAAAACAATAAGAACTAGGAAACACCACCATCAAATAAAAATAAAACTTAAAGTTACCTAGGTGCTAACAATGGTTATTTCTAAATTATATATTTATATTTCTCAAGGATTTTTTTCTTATATTTCTCAGGTACAAAGTAAGTGTCTTACAGCCTGGAAGGAAGGGTTGAAATTTTTTTTTAATTTTCTTATACAATTAAAAATAAAAGTAAATAAATATGCAATGCCAAACTATTTCACATAAATCTATTTTATTCATATAATTCAAGAGAATATCATATATTCATATATTTTATCTTTTGCCTTGGAAAACAACTATGCTCCAAGAAGACAACATGGAATTACGGACCGAGCCAAAGGACAAAATGCCTTCATGCAAAGGGGCTTATACACTAGCAAGCTGCCTAACCACACTGTTGTTGGCTTGTGTTTTTTTTTGTTGTTGTTGTTATTTTTTTTTTTTTAAAGAAGCTTTGTTAGCTTGACAAAGACTTTTAGTGGATTTAACATGTAGACTGAAAGAAAGTATATCACCTAATAATTCTCTTGAAAGCCATCTGTTAGGGTTTTAAACAGGAAAAATGACAAACACTCTCATTCATTTTTAATCTGCTGGCGGATTTTATTTGGAGTCCAACTGTTCAGAAGCACAGTTGTCAAACTGTAACTAAGCCTCATCATTCGCACTAAGAGACAAGGAATAATGGCAAATGTGACCATTCTAAAGTCAAATTAGTATGGAAAGCCACAGGAAGATTAAGAGATAACAAAATGCTGTGTCCCTAGAGACAAGCGTCCACTAAATGGGACCGTTTCTTTCTGCAGCTGGTTAATTTCCACAGAGACAGGCTTTTGGGCTTTTGCTTACTCGCACATACATTAGATCTGCAGCAGAAACTGGAGAACTGTGGAGTAATAAAAACTACAGGCAAACTTTCCAGGAGAACCAAGTCTCCAGAGACAGCTCATGAAAGATGTCTGAGATCTACAAACTAAGAGTTGGAAAGATCTGCTTCCTCCACAATCTGTTAAAAATAGACCAATGTGTTTTTGCATAGTATAAATAGCAGCTTGTACTGTAAAGCTAGAGGCTAGAGCAGTTTCCAGATTCAGATCTTTAAGTGTCTGAGCCAGATGACTACGAACCCTCCTAAACTTACCTGGGACCTTGAAAGCTCCCTCAGTGGTGAGCTTCTCCCTTCTCCAGAGTCAGACACTGAATCCAGGCCAGACGTTGAAGAGAGTGTGGCTTTTGAAGTAGCTACCTGGTCTTGGGATGGAGATGAAGAAGTGGGTATGGGGGAGGACATGCTTGCCACATCTTCTCCTGTGGCTGCCTCCCTTTCACTGGATGAGCCCCAAACAAACTGGGTGGAGTCAAGCTTCGGGGCACTGGCTTTGACCGAATTCTGTTGAGGTCCCCTGACAACTTCAGCATCTCCATTGTACTTCCAGCCAGCATCCATCTAGATAGGAAACATCATGTTAAACACGATACCCCGCCAGCCTTGGGTTCACTTTTTTTTCCTTTATTAAGAAAATTTTTTTATTCATTTTACATACCAACCACAGACTCCCCCTCTCTTCCCTCTTCCTGCCCGCCCAAGTCTGCCCCACCCACCCATCCACACCCAGCCCCCATTCCCTCCTCTGAGAAGGCAAGGCCTCCCATGGGGAGTCAGCAGAGCCTGGCACATTCAGTTGAGGCAGGTCCACGCCCCTCCCCCTGCATCAAGGCTGTGGAGGTGTCCCACCATAGGTAATTTGCCTTCAAAGAGTCAGCTCATGCACCAAGGATGAGTCCTGATCCTACTGTCAGCCAGCCCTTTAAGCAGACCAAGCTACACAACTGTCTTGATTATGCAGAGGGCCTAGTCCAGTCTGGTGGAGGCTCCACAGCTGTTGGTCTAAAGTGCATGAGGCCCCACTAGCTTGGTTCAGTTGTCTCTGTAGGTTCTCCATCATGATCTTTTCAAAGCATAACTATTGGTATTTGAAAGCCACTAAAGCAAGATACACCCGCCACAGAAAAGCAGCTATTGCCAAAGCCTGGAGGGCATTCCTTCACACTAACAAACATGCACCAGCATAGAAACTTGTTCTAATATAAGCATTATTATGTATAGTTTTCTAAAACCTGTTTTGTTTGTATCACTCCAGGTCAACGGATACAACTCCAGACTAGGTCTTTCAATGGCTGGAATCCTCACAGTGTGGCTATCAATCATTTATTCATTTGATAGATAATTAAATTGTTATAAGCTATCCATCATTCCCCAAAAACACTACAATCAATTCCAGCATCCCTTTATAAATGGAGCTTTTATTTTAGAGCCCAGATGTTGCGGAAACTCACTGGCTCAAAGGTTTTATATATGAAGTATCTGTCATTTCTACAGAGAAAACAGCAGCCCTGTACTCGTGGGTAGAAGGACACCAGTAACAGCCTCCTCAAGGCTTACATTTCAGCATTTAAAATATTTGTCGGTCAGAGGGGTGGAAAGTTGTTTACTTAATTCTCAGGCTAACGAGGCTAAACATTGCCTCTCTGTTTTTTCATTGCATTCCTCCACACTAAATTGGCCGGCTCATGTGTTAAGTCCTTTTCTAGTGTTTATCATTCTCTTATCAAATTATAAAAGTACTTCAGCCGGGCGGTGGTGGGGCACACCCTTAATCCCAGCACTCGGGAAGCAGAGGCAGGCGGATCTCTGTGAGTTCAAGGCCAGCCTGGGCTACCTAGTGAGTTCCAGGAAAGGCGCCAAAGCTACACAGAGAAACCCTGTCTCGAAAAAACTAAATAAATAATTAATAAAAGTACTTCACATCTTAGAATTGTCAACCCTTTATCTGCAGTGCAGTTTAATAATAATTGTGACTCAACTCACCCTATGTCAATAGTGCCTGCCATGCAAGTTTAACTTTTTTGTTATCAAATAGGTCTACATTTTCCTTAACAGTGTGGTCAGGGATTTCCTGGCTGATTTAGGTAGGCTTCTTTCACCTCAAATACAATTTCTTAAGCCATAATTCTCATTTTTGTCAAGATTTTAAGCTCTTAAGGTTTATCTAGGTGGGCAGAACTAACAGGAACATGAATATTAAATATTCAGACCACATTGCTTCATTTACATAAGTCAGTCTAATATGTCCCACATGTGCTGAATCCCATTAAAGATACAAATAGACATATTTCAACAAAAGTTTACTCAAGCATCAAGTTCTGAGGTAGGAAGGAAGGATAGGACAAAACCTTACATATACAACCCTGAAAACATTTAAGGTAAGCCTTAAAAAAACTGCTATATCGTAGGTTTAACAAAAAGAGCTAACTGCTGGCAATTTCATACTGTTCAACCTAAAACTTTAGAAGAGCTACAGGCAAAGATATACAAGAAAAAAAAATAAATGTTCTGTCTTAAAATGTATCTTATTTGTTCTTTAAAGTTTAATCACCCCTGTTTTTATTAGATCTAAATTGTCATGGAAGTTGTACACACACACACACACACACACACCATTTTACACATACACATCCTGTATCTATGTCCAACTCAGCTTCTGCTCAAGCTCCCCCACTCATTGCTCTTGAGAACAGACTAAATGAACCTGAGGCCTTTTTACCGTGTAGGATCTGGGCAGTGATGAGATTCCCCTTGACTGTGTGCCAAAAGGTCTCGCTGTGACCACAGATGTTAACCTGGCTGTATCGGCTTTCTGGTAACTTCTAGGGAGAGAAGCTGAAATCCGAGTCGACTCTGCTCTTGTACTCAGCGACTGCTGTAAAGAGAGCGAGACTGGACGCTGTGCTACCGAAGATAAGGATGCCTGGTGCTGTTCTGCAGAAGGCAAGGATGCCTGGTGCTGTTCTGCAGAAGGCAAGGACGCCTGGTGTGGATCTGCAGAAGGCAAGGACGCCTGGTGTGGTTCTGCAGAAGGCAAGGGGGCCTGGTGTGGTTCGGCCGCAGATAAAGTGGCCGGCAGCTGCTCTTCAGGAATATGAGAAGGAAGTTGAATCTCAGCGGCTATACTGTCCTGTCTATTTGCAAAAGTTGTGGAATCTTCTTTGGGTGTCTCAGCAGGATAAGTTGTTGCCTTGACTTCCAGTCTCTCAGTCTGGTAGCTGGTTTCTGAGAGAGTCACTGTAGGAGCGAGCACTTCATCCAGGGCGTCATCAGAGGAATACATCCTCCTTGTAGAATTCTGATTTCGAGATTCCCTTAAGCAAAGAAAAATGCGTCATTACGACAGAGTTATGCACTTGATCCCAGAAGGGATAAGACAATAACATGTAAGTGGTTATTCACTGAACACAAAAATCAGTTACAGGTGATTATGCATCATTTTTAAGTATCAGCTAAGAGACTGACCTGACCATTTGTTAAAGAGGCTCTCAAATGGAAATTTTTAATCATAAAAGACTTTAATAACAAAATAACAAAAACATGAGATTATTCTCGGGTTTTTAGCCACAAACTTATGTCTTCCAAGATCAAAATGCTTTAAATGGCTGGCCACCAATCTGAATCTGCCAAGTTCATTATATAAAATGTATAAAGTATTGGTAAAAATAATAGTACAAAAGACTCGGGCTTTTATAGAGAGCCAGTCAGCTCATGGAGCTTGACAGAATCCCCATGGGCAATTATAATAGATTCAAGGTTATTATCCATCCTTCCAGAGCTGAGGAACCAGTTCGTGGGGAGTCCCTCCCGCCCTAGCTAACTGCTGTATTGAAGTGAATGGAACTCTTCAGCATTGGCATTTCGGACACAAAGGAGCTTTGTCTAACTTCACCTGCCAGCATATTTCCTTTGCGACATTATTTTTAAAGCAATATTTGCTTTCTCTCTGATCTCTCCATCTCCTCCAGGTCCACAGTTCAGTACTCACATGAAAGTTTAAATTTCACTTTTATCCTGCTATTTCAACTCAAAGAATAAACCCACAGATCCATGCTTACATAGACTTCCTTTAAGTATAATTTATTCTCTACCACTAAAATTTAACAAAGATCTGTTATAGTTCATAAAATTCATTCAAAGGTCAAAGTTGATTTTATTTGACTGCTCTATGCTCTGCTCTACTAAACTCTCTTTAAAAGGAGAAACACCAGTGGGTTTTTGTTTGTTTGGGTTTGGTTTTGGTATCACGTACAGTGAATAACCCCTCCTCCCACAGAAGAGCATACAGTGTGAGACAAAGAAAGAATACTGCTCACCAATAATAAGTAATAGTTTCTTTGTTAATCCAGATATCCAGATCTCTAGCTCAGCAATATTTTTTTAATGCTTCAGAACAAAACCCTGGCTGTAGTGGTACATACGTGTTTACAGTTTAAAAGTGGTGACCACATATCCTACCGCAGGCAGAGCCTCCATTTCTGACATGGGGATCTCCAAACACGAGGAGGGTCCAGCCCCTTACCTGTCCTGCAGCATTTCCCTAAATGTCTTGGAGCTTCGGTCAGACCTCTCGAGTGCCTGCTTTTCAATCTCTTCCCTCTCCTCCTTTTTCTTCTGCAGATCTGAAGTGTAACTCTTCCGACGACTTTTCCATTTTGCAAGGTCCTGACAAGAAATCACACCAGCCCGGTCATACCTGAATTTCTACACACCCTTTCCTCACGGCGGCGAGAGCATGCTGGAGTATCCTGTTACACCACTGCAAACCCTCGCTCCCACTTGTGCCAAGATGCCCTAATTTTGCTTTTTATAGCAGTGTTTCTGCACCAAGCTTTTATCTCATGTGCCTGCCAGAAAACCCTGACCTAATAAGAGATCCCACTTTTGTTATCCACGAAAGTATCACATCAAAGTCCATTTCCCAAAGAATGCTAAATGATTGCAATTAAGTACTAGATCAGATTGATCGGGAAGTATCTCAAACTCAATTTCATAGCACTCCAAACCCGATTCACATGCTTGCTATGATGACAGGGACAGAAATGTCCCTGTAACAGTCCAGTTCAAGTAAATGGTCTATCTTATTAATATGTAGTTTAATCCCCAGAAACACACAAAGGCCTAAGATGTGCTTCCCCTCAACAAGGTAGACTATGCACAGAGGTCAATGCCTAGTGGATAAGTCTACCGAGAAGAACGAGGGTCTTAAAGGAAAGTCAGTTCTACCTACAGAAGAGAAGGTCACAAATCACATTGGACTGCCCATGATTTCAGAGAATATAGTCTACCTGGGAGAGAACAGGGAACACCCTATAAGCACAAGCCCATACTTGTTTCCCACATCTCCAGAAACGTGTTCTAAATCAGCCTGGACAATCTATCTAATGCAGGTATTACCTAGTTACATAAGCCAGTTGTGACATTGGAAGTTTGAAGCATCTTGAATACTACAAATATTTCTTCATTTCCAAATCAGAGAAATATTTGGATTCCAAGGATCCAAGAGAAATCTCAGTCCAAAGGGAAGTATACCAAAGGTCTCAGAACAAACCATACCTCATACCCAGGGCTTAGAAAGCAAGTTTGCCTACTAAACTTTGGGGACAGATAGGGCTAATTCTGCTTTTCAAACTACCTAAAACCAATGGGAACTATTTTTCCCCAAAAGAAATAGTGTCCAAAATACTCATTTGCTCTCACCTAATGGGTAGCCCACCTTGATAATCATTTTCTTATCAAAAAAACTCATTATGTGTTTCGGCAAAGTAATACCTAATTCTTTACTGGTTTTTGCAGGGATTGGGGTTGAAGTTAGAGCATCACACACGTGTTCTGACACCGAGCCACATGCTGAGCCCTAAGTGTTGTTTCTTGATCATTCAATCAAGTTTCATACAAGAGGGCACTGAAGTTTAGCAATGTAATAGCTTTGGTCATTAAGATTGGCTTTCTCCAGTGCTTTTGTTCACGCTGTCACTCAGCTCTCTCACCATGAAGCTGTGCTCCAACTTCTATGGACTTAGGACTGTGGTTTGTCTATTACAGTTCCTTACACTCCTACAGCTTATAATAATCGCTATAGTCAACTAAAAGGCTTATACTTCCTTCTTTAAGATTCGGGATAAAGGTTAAGTCTATAAACACTTGGATATGCCAGCTCCCCTGAAACAGTTAATTTTGAATCACATTAGATACTGACTTCAGCCAAAATATTACTCTGAGTTGTATTTCATCCCAATCTCCAGATAGCAAGCTTGAGAACTGTTTACCTCTCCCCACTCATGCCAAGATCTGAGTGATCCTGTTCCCGTGAGATCTCAATCTTGATCAATGCTGTTTTTCTAGCAGAGGCATAATTAGTAGTCAGACCCCACTCTCCCACGTAAGCAAGTGTACTATCCTGCCAGACAGGAACTTCCCACTCTTTGAGAACTCACGGTCTCTTAGGAGATAAGCATGCTTCTATATTTTTACAATGCTCTGTAAAACATATAACAGTACTTTGGGTACATTTTCTATTGTACTGAATGCTGAAACACCAAGGAAAATTGTCTCTTAAGTATGTCGACTTCCTTAAGAGAAGCAAGAAGGGCACCATGCTCCCTCTCTCTCCCAGCTCTAGAATACTCACATCCTGCCACTTCTGATCTTGTTCTTTCAGTTGGGATTTTATTTTCTGCATCTCCTCGTACTGCAGCTGACGCAGGTTCTGAGCATCCTCCGCGCTGACATCACTCATGGACTTGCTCCTGTCAGAAAAACGCCTACAATCACAAGGGTTCTGGTGGCTGGCCTGAGGGTTCACATGAAGACTGGGCTTGTATTTAGAAATTCCACCTAAATATCTACTGCCCTACCCAGATGCTTTAGTGATAGTGTCCCTGAAATAGCACGACACAGATAAATGGTGTTTTTCCAAAGCACAGAAACGAGAGCCCGGCATTCAACTCAGGTGTGAGATGCTTTTTTTTTTTTTCCTATAAAATGGTCAAAGTAACCTTGAACGGTTCTAAAAATAATAATGCAGTGCTTGTATTTAGAGGAGTCTTCTCTAAGATTTTCTTAGAGGAGGGGACCATCAGTCACTAACATCACCTATCCGAATTTGTCTATGTTCCCTCAAAGATAACCTAGTAAAGTTTGGCTGTTTTTGCTCAGCATTTGCTAAATAATTTAGTGACTACCTGATATTTTCTCCTCAGGTTCAACACCATGAAAAGATGTGCTGTGTCTTCTCAACGATTCTCTAAGATCTACTGTACCACTGTGCGGCTGGACCGACTCTCAGGCAACCACAGGTAGTTTCCCACAGCCTGTCAGAACCACTTCAGGTACCCTCACCTTCCTTAAGGCAGTGCTCATAGCCTAATTTGCACCCCTGTACATGAACATGTGCAATCAGGAAATAAAGCCAGAGTGGGGTTTCAAAACCGTTTTTTCCCCATTACTGTTACATATTTTAAAGGCCATTGTAAAAACTATTATCTTCTAATAGGCTTCAAACTCTCAAAGAGTTTAAAGTTGCTTCTCGGTGGGAAAGCGATTCATTCACTTGAGTTAGTGACTGAGTTGGGATATGGCTACTACCTCTGTGCAGTGATGAAAAAGACCTCCCAGAAAGGCAGGGCTCGGGTCAGCACTGAAAGCAGTAAGACAGTGAGAGAGACAGAGTTTCAGAGGTGGGCTAGATGAAATGCCCTTTCCTGCTGTACTTCTGAGTTCACTGCATTGTAATTAACCATATTTTACATTATATTAATATATCCCTGGGCACCTAAGTTTTGCATTCTCTCCAGTCCTGCTATCACCTCTCTCTCTCTCTCTCTCTCTCTCTCTCTCTCTCTCTCTCTCTCTCTCTCTTGGTTGGTTCAGGAATGCAATTGTAAGTACCATGCAAATGACTCTGGAGGCTACAGCCTAGGACATGCCCCTCTTTGACTCATTTCCAATTCCCTGTGAATAGGCATTTATTCTTGAATATACCCCTAGGTACCTCAACTGAAAGGGGACCTGCTGAAATGCTATCTGAAAAGGGAGTTTTTTTAAACTGCACCTCACTAAACATGATGTTATTGTTGGGGTAGCCAATCTCAAGCCTGCTTTTCCTCTGTGGGGGTTAATGGTGGTACCTGCCCTCAATCATCCTCATCTGAAACCTAAGAACCACTTTTTGCTTTTGTTTCTGCTCCTCACTTCACTTTCAATTAGATGTCTTCTCGTTTAATGCTGCTTTCTTTTCATCCCGATTGCCATCAGTCTAGATCAAGGCATAGGCAACCCTCCTCTGGATTTCCAAAAGAGCTGCTCAAATTATCATCAAAGAAGGCTTTCCTCAAATGCTCCCTCAAACTCAAGAGTCCTTTGCCGGTGCCTCCCTGCCTTTTAAAATACCACTCAAAATCATGGCTAGGCTCACTCCACAGTTACCTGCTCACCATCTGTCTTCTTCAATTCAGGGAAGGTCAATTCCATCCTTCCACAGTTGGGATCCAAAAGTTTGGAGTAACCTCGGTTCCCCTTTCTCTCGAAACACTTATTCCATCCATAATTCCTCTGCTATTTCTAGGACCCAACCATTTCTCACCTCTTCCTTATCACTGTACTGATCTATACCATGACATCATCCACTTGGAAATTCCCAAAGATCTCCCTGCTTCTACATGCTCCCCGCTCAACATGCTCAATGGAGCAGCTGGAAAGACAGTGTCAGCTTGGTCACAACACACCCAACCCCACACTTGAGCTTCTTCCCATCAAAATTCTAAGTAGATTCTTCAAAGACCTACATGGTCTGGCACCATCTGGTCCCTTCTTGCCTCTCCACACTCATTTGTAGCACCGTGTCCTGGTCTCACTCTCCTTCTGCCAAGTGGCTGCCTTGTGCATGCTTACACCTCTTCCTTCTGCCCTTGCTCTTCAAGCTGCCATAATACTTCTCATCCAGCTAGACAGCCATGTGATTTCACTTCCAAGTATCTACTTAAATGTTATTCAGTGTCTCCTTCTCTTTGCATCCTACAAGAGCCTGCAAATGTCTCTCCAGGCTGATCCCATCCTAACCCTCTCTCCTTGAACAATTATTGGCATCTAAGACATTCTTACTTCCCTATTGCCTGCTGAGTTCTGTAAGATGACCAGGAATTACCTATGCTTGCTGATATATGGCTAGGCTTAAAAGAAAAACCAGCACATAGTGAATACCCCATAAATACATCTAATCAATGATCTACATAGCGTTCAACCACTTGCATACAGTCTTTGTGGCTCTTCCATGTGAAAAGTGAACTGCCCCTTCTCTCACCTGCTCTCCTACGTTGGCTACAGTATTCTTCATGATGCTAATCCTTGGCTCCATCTTACATAGTGTGCACAAGCATACCTAGATCATCTCTCTCACAAACCATATGCTATTTGGAAAGAAAACATTAGCACAGTACTGTGCCTGCAGATACACTCACTTAGTATCTGTGCTAAGAATGAGGTTAGCTGGAACATCGTAATCAAACATGAAAACTCTGAGTTGACTCTGAGGGAAAGCATAACTGCTCTCCAAAGTTTTATAGCACAGGTTTAGTATGGAATTAGTTACATATAAAATTATAACTATAGAAAAATATATGAACCTACACATGTATCATATACCTCTCACTATGTATAACTACATACCAAATTAGATCATATGGACTTGAGAATATAAACTGACTGATGTCATGCCTACCAGGAAAGAGGCTTTTTGAGTTCAAAAACATATTCAGTAAGAAATGGGAAGGAAATGTACACATCCAAGGAATGAGGGGAGATTGGACATGCAACCCACGAAGCTACACAAACTGTAAAGCAAAAATAAAATACTAATTCATACTCCACTAATCATTTTGTGGGAAGAAAGCTGAATCACTTGTACTAATCCAGAACCTTCTGTGGCTTCTGGTCTTACACTCTTCCTCCTGGACTGGGAAGCATCACTATGTGCTTTCCCACATAAGGTGCCAGTCAAAGGTAAGACGGCCTCTCTCACGCTAGTGCCTGAGTGCTGAGCTAAGCCTAGGAGCTCAGAGGCACACAGCATGAACAAAGTGAGCTGAACATGGGCTAGAGTAGAAAAGTCTTTTTATAGGCAAGGATGTGAGCACAGTTTGTTCCTGGGGTGTATAAAGTTACCCCCATTAAAGCAGGGAGTACATGCCATAGTAGTCCGCATAGACTCCAGCAAGAGACAAGAAGTGAGGGCACCAGACCTAGCTGCAACATAGGCTTTCACCCACTGGACACACACCAGTTCCCGTCTCATACCCTTGGCTCCTCAGCCACGAAGTTATGTTAACTAAGCAAGGCTGTGCTGGTACACTTCTTAAATCTGGTGCCATCGACTCCTTCTTATTAAGGCAGATGGAACCGAATGGAACCTCGTCAATACTAACTCTATCAACTGCCTTCAAGTTAGAAAGGTTGCCCCAGACCACACAGATAAAATCTAGAACTTCTAGAGTACAAAGATGAAGTCTGTCTTTCTTTATCAGCATTAACCACATGACATTAAAGTCCCAGGAGTTCCTTGAGTAGCACAGCACTAGCAGCAGTCTCCGAGAATTGCCTCATGAGGCACAGCCCCGGTCTGGTTCTGCTACTTGAAAGCCTCCATCCTTGGGAAAGCTACAATCTCTGTCTACGGAATGCAGATAACACCCACCTGTCTGCCTCGCAGAACTGAGATAAGCCCCGAAGAAAGCATCCAGGAAATTGTGAAGGACATGCCCAGCATGGACAATGCACAGGTAAGTCACGTCGTTCTCTTAGAACTGCCTGCTACAATTGGTTATATTTCCTTATTCTGAAGGCTCTAAATCACTTCATTTGTATTTGCATCCCGAAAATGCAGGTGGAACAAGCATCTTGTCTTTTCAATTAATTTAATGGTATTGGGGAAGCATGACAGGAAGAAGTTTAAGAGGGAATCGCTTATAAATCACTAAACAAAATTTCCTTGTACTCTTCCTTTCCTTGTCCATACGATGCATCTGATGCTTTCAGCTGGAAATAAGGTCTATCCTAAAATCCAGCTTCAGTAAACTCACAGATGAGTGTCTACAGCAGTGGTTCTCAACCTTCCTAGTGCTGCAGCCCTTTCATACAGGTCCTCATGCTGTGGTGACTCCCAACCATAAAATTATCTTTGATGCTACTTCATAACTGCAATTTTGCTACTGTTATGAACTGTAATGTTAATATCTATGTTTGCTGAAAGTCCTAGGTTGAGCCCTGTGAAAATGTCATTCAACCCCCAAAGGAGTCACAACCCACAGTTGAGAACCACTGGTCTATAGCAGAAAGAGTCCAGAGCCAATATAAGATACTTTTTCCTAAACATAAATGGAAATTCAAAAAACAATAAGGTAAGGATCTCTGCCTTTGAAAGCAATATAAATATGCTAATTTATCTAATTGTATATATTTTTCATTAGACACTTTAGGATTTTGTGAACAATAACAGTGTTAAAACCTGTGTTGAAACACTTTGAAATTCCCATCAAGTAAAATAACAGAACATAGGAAACAATTTTCATTTATAGATTTACCTACTTATTTGGGTTTCTCAACACCAAGACTATTAGCATTTCTGCCAGAAAATCATTTGCTATAGAGAGCTATTCTGGGTGTTATAGGACACACACAAAGCACTAAATGTAAATAGCACACACACTTGGCTGTAATAATGAGAAGTCTTTTGGATATAACTAGATGCCACCTGGAGTGAAAAAGAAAATCTGCAAAAATTAGCTCAGGTCAACTTGTCTCCCATCCTTCTTGCCTGCCTTGATATGGCCTGATAATCCTGCACAATCACTTGGTCAAGCCCTTTGAGAAAAATATAGCTGCCTTCAGTTGTCTTTGACTGCCAATCCACATGTAACTGGCATTTATTTCCTTGTGATACGGATAGAGGGTTTGCTGGTTATCACATTGCAAGATTGTTTATATTCTTGCAAACTTTGTCAGTACCAAGCTTATATCAGACATGAGCAATTCCCAGACTTCATAGCACCACACAAATGGAAGTTCATGCAACACAAAGGTACACACATGAGAACTGGCAGCCGCACAGAAAGCTTCTTAATTGACATTATGTGTTACATGCCAACTAAAGCCTAGTAAAACACTTCCATAGCATGCGCAAGCACCAAAAACCACATAAAATGCAAGCCAGAATTTCATAGGCAAAGAACTGCAACAAAATGCTACACATTTCTCTTCAAAAAGAAACAGTCACATGATGGGCAGTTAGTTTCTAATTACAAGATATCAAACAGTACTGCTTTTCCACTGTATTATTTTTGGAGAAAGTTCACCCAGCATAAATGTGAAATTAGTCGTACATTAAACTCCTATAAGTAATTCAATTTTAATTTATATTTTAATCTGTAGGAAATCAATGTAAGGAATCACAGGTAACTATAAAACATAGAATAAAAGGGGGAAAATAAATAAATCTACAACTGCTCATAAACAGAGCGGCATTTTCTAAGACACATTAAGTCCCATTATCTGACAAGTCATGTATTATTCATTAGTCTCAATTAACAGATTATCTTGCTTTATTCCTGTAGTTACCTTAGCACTACATTGCAAGAAGATTTTTTTTTAAATAGCCTTTTAAAGCAAACACTGTGTTATCCAGATAACCAAACAACTACTTGGAATTGTCGAGTGGAAGCCTTTGCTGCTGACTGTTGTGGATTAGGAAAATTCCTCAGCATTTTGAGGTTGAATATTTAAGTTTTCTTTTTTTTAATTGGTGTTTGTGGTTAGGGTGGTCCAGAGTATTGGGGAATGAGTCTACAGCCACAGGCAAGCTAAGCCTGAATTCAATCATTGAGCCCATTCTTGCCAGGGGTAATTCAAGTCACATAACAATCCTACACTAAGGAAAAACAGGTAGGGTCACATCAGAGAGGGAGGTAGTTATATGTTTACATGCCCCAAGTACTTAAGACTCTTGGTACCTGTACCCCTTTTAGGAAAACTGTTCCAGAGCTGTGTTTATGCTACAAAGTAAGTCAAATGTGATTCCAAATGAAAATTCCTCATGAAAGTTGTTCAGAATGCTTGAAGCCTCAAGGAGATTTTAAATCAAGGTTAAAACAGCTTTCCTATGACAAGTTGATGAACAGACTTTGAAGTGTTATACCAAAGACTGACATCTTCACCCTCACAGATGAGACCCTTGTGAGCACACGAGGCTGTGGTGTGAGGAAGAGACAATGTGCCGTCACATGCCACACTGGAAGGAGTAATTATAATGGCTGCCCATCACTCAATCACATCTTTGGTATCTAGAGTTGTTATAGTGAATTTTGGCATAATCTTGGTAGCTTCTAAAATTTCTAAACTACTGAAATTATTTTAAAAAAACTCTTAAAATTAGAGATTCTGAGAGATGAGATAAACCATGGTAAGGGGAAGATACTCAACTCCTGAGGCTGATTGAAATATTGGGTATTTTCAACTTTTCTCAAAAACTATTACCCATAAATTTCACAGTTACTAAAAGCCTAGTGATGTTGCATTGAAAATGAATGACTTAATTTAAAATAGTCTAGAACTGACTGGAAAAAATTTGAGAAAGTCAGTTTTATATTACATAGTCATGTTTACCTAATGAATATTAAATACTCATAGACAAAAACTGAGAAATAACTTAAATATAGTTCTTGTAACAATATCGGAAACTACCAAGATTATTTTTTATAACTGTGGAAGCCTGGTCTGCTCTTTATAGGCCGTCATGTTACCATTAACTTTCCACCCTAGTCAAGAACCTTGAAAATATTTCCCAAAATTATTAACCATCCCCACTCACAAAGCTCCTCCTAAGCTAAGTACGTGAATTATGCAAGCTACATGAATTCTTACATTAAGCAAGCAGTGATGTCCTTTCCTATCACAGACTTTCTAAGATGCAGTTTGTGGGGGAAGGACCTTCAACAGCTAAAAAACAGAAGCTTAGTGTATTTTAGGAGTCAAATACCAAAATGAACATCCTCTTAGGCTCTTGTTACTTTCAATCATTAAATGAAAAGGAAAAAAAGGGGGGGGGGTGGAGTTAAATTTTAATACAGCAAAAACTAGTGCTTTATGTAACAGTTCATGCATTGGTCATTTAGATACAGAAATATTGCTATGAGGTTGCAATGTTAATAAAAAGTAAATAAAAATCCCATGCACTGCACACAGCACCCCGCTTAGTGACATGCCAGGACACAGTGCAGTAGGTTACAGAAGAGACAAGCAAATACGTGCATTCATTTTTAATGTGAACCATAAGACTTACCCATTCTCACCATAAATCTTTTGAAAGAGTCTAAGAAACCAAAAAACCAAGGATTAAAAAGGGTCACTCTCTCCAGCTGTGGTAGTTTCTAAACATTCCACATCTCTAACTTGAGTCTAACTGGAAATGGGCGAATCTGAACAAGTTGGTCCTTATCCACTTTCTAATATTTCGAGTTTTAGTCTCCTAAACTCGGGTAAATAATATCGACATTTTCTTGATTTATTCTGAGCCAACAAATTCATAAGACAAGGTCTCGCCTTGCCAGGAATTGAGTTAGATTTGGGGCCACTCACTGTATTCAGCCTGGTCAAATTCGCCCATCCCCAACTTAGAGTGAACGGAACAGTGGCGGAAGGCAGCATGGCTCATGTTACCGAAACGGCCACAACTACAAACAGTCTGACAGACTCATGCATTTTGATGGTGCTTGCACTGAACATTATAAATAAAAATGCTACAAATTGATAGATCGGGAAGCCTAGATTGACAAAAAAAATAAAGTTAAATGAAATCTGCAATGATATATTTTAGGAAAATATTTAGGTCAATAAAAGACACTGCAAACCATGATAAGCACAGAAAACCAAACCGCATGTAAGACTACTACAAAAATACTAAACACGAGGATCAAAACCTGCAGACACAATTAGAAAATATTTGCATCCAGTTTTACATTTAAATATAACGAAGGACACTTCCAAGCCAGAGGCAAGCTTTGCATATACCTTCTCAAATCACCCTAAGACGAGTAAATATGGAATTGCACTTCTTCCATGAAATGATTAAAAGTTTCTCAAAGCCAAGTAATATTTTTTACAGGATGCTTCAGAATGGCACACAACATGCAGAGCTGAGTAAAAACCAATGCGGCTTTTTTTTTTTTCCATAAGGATATTTACACAAGACCATCCATCACAAGCCAAATCCTTGCAGAAACACACTCTGACCTCTCAACCATCAGCCGCTTCCTGTGCCTAAGTCTGCTGGCCTTCCGGATGGCCTCCCACTTCTGCAGGTCGGCCTCGCTGCAGGGGCCAGGCTTGAAGCTGATGGGAGGCACAGCGGTCCCCAGCTTCCAAGACTGGATCTTGCGAGCCAACATGTCGTCTCTCTTCTGTCGATAGGAAGGAGCTAAGACTCTACAGCCGCTGCTTTTATCTTTGGGTGGGCGTGTCCTTTCGAGCACACACAGAAATTTCGCTTGGATTTCTGGAGGTAGGGTCCAGGGTTCAGGGAAAGGGACTGGCTGATATCTATCAGGGGCCCCAGACAGGGGCACTTCTTTCTTCTGCGCTGGGATCCGGCGAACAATCATATCATCTTTTTCTAAATCTGGAAGTACAAGTTCGCCTTCCCGACACTGCAAAATTATATCTCGCTCAACAGCATCGTCTGGCTCAGAGAACCTTCGAAGGTCTTGGAAGGCTCGAAGAACACATGGATTTGCATGGAAAGCCCCAGTTTTTCTGACAAAGAAATCATCATTTTCTAAGTCAGGATCCAGAGCTGGCAGCTCAAGGTCATCCGCTCGATAGCCTGGTGTGTGAGAGGGATTTTTTCTGCGAGTTATGAGCCTTGGGCCAGAGGTGGGATCGATTTTGACGCTTGTTTCTGAAGACAAGATGTCATCAGAGTATGTTTGAAGAGCCTGAAGCAATAAAAACTGACTGAAGCACAGAAAGAAAAAAGGAAGGGAGAATCGGATTAAGTAAGAAGAGAGTGGTAATTAGGCAGCAGTTTACAAAGCGGGACTCATCAGGGGTGAATGATTAGGCGCCATGGGAAGGGGTATAACAAACGAGACAAATACTCCATGCCATTCTCTGGGACTTTCCTGGGTTTCATATAAAGAAACAACAACAGGTTATGCTTCCAAGGAAATGTGAAGACTGCCAGGGACAAGGGATGGATCTATAACTCCGGTCAAGTGTACCTCCCTAGCATGGTCACGGGTACCACTCCTTGTACCAACTTCCTAACTCTGTTCTCCATGGTGCCCTCATCCTCCCTCCAGAGAAGGAGGCATGATCTTAGAAAGCGCTGAGTCAGCCATCATATCCTGTACACCATAGTGTACGTCATGGTAAGTAGAAGTAACAAAGTGGTCTAGAGTTGTAAAAAAGACCCTGAGGTGTTTTTTGTTTGTTTGTTTGTTTTTGTTTTGTTTTTTGGTTTGGATTCTCTAGACTTGCCCTTTCCAGTGTCCATCTAAAAGGATTTCCTTTCTCCACTCACAACAGTAAATTTAGATATTTTTAAAAACCTTTTTTGGAGTGGATTTTCAAAAGAATTCGTGCATGCAGATATGAACCACCTTGCACATTATTGTGTTAATAGCATGTTGATTCCTAGAGTTGGTGACAACACTCTCATGCAGAAGGCAGTGCGTTACACACTGTGCCTTTATCCCGTGTCGTGAAGCTTCCATGAGTCAGTAGCCAGGGCCTAGGTTAATGTAGCAGCAGAAGCAGTCAGACAAGGTGTCTGAGGTCAGCCACAAGCAGGTAACTCATACAGAGAGGTGCACCTGGACTCCTCCAAAGGACCACTGGTCCGCCTGGCTGCAGGGGTGTCCCGTGACCTCATGGCATGTTTGGTAGCTAGCTCCAGCAAGAGTGAAGGTCTTTGGTAGTTGCTGGCTAACCTACGCTCTGCCTTTTCTAGCCTACTAAAAATCGTGGTGCTTCTGAGAGAGCCTGAGTCCTCGTCCTCAGAGTCAGAATTCCTTCTGCCAGGAAGTGACATGGAAAAAAAAAGGGGGGAGGGGAAGAGAAGCAGACAAAGAAATGGAGAAGAGCGTAAGTTCTGAAATCTATGTCAAGCTTGATATGAAAGGGGACTTTTTAGAGTCTAGAGGCTAAAGTTTTTTTCATACTGTTGTCAATGTTGTGTTTTACTAATAAAAACACAAGCCACAGGCAGTTTATTAAGTAAACATAAAAAGTAACCCCAGGGGTGGAAGTCAAAAAGTCTTTTTTTTTTTTTTTTTGCTTTCAGAGATAGGGTCCTATTTTGAAGCCTAGGCTTTTTTCAAACTTTTAATCCTCCTGCCTCAGCATCCAGAGTGCTAAGGTTCAAGGCATGTACCCCATGTCCACCCTCGGGATTAAATTTAAACTTTTTGTTTTACTTTGAAAGTTCTACAGATGTTAGAGGGAAAATAAACCTTTCTCTGTCCCTAATTGAGAAAACAGGACATAGGATGTACCAGACTGGGGCAGAGAACAAACACCGGACCAGGAGCATGCACAAAGACAAACCTGAATCCCTGGAATTCCTTATACCATGGCTTATAAGTCTCTCTCTTTATTTTTTTCCAGTTCATATCTTCTGGGGTCCAGCATTTGGGAAGAAACTGATCAAAAGAGCCCCCTGGGCTTGGCATGACAGGGCTGAGCTTTCTCACATAGAGATCATCCTTCACAAGGTTGGGGATGCGCGTTATCTTTGCTTCCTCCTCTTCCAGATAACAAGAGGAGGTTGAAGTTTCTTGGATTGTGTGCCAGCGCTCCATCTTGGGACCCCAAGTCCTCCTCTGGTTACTGTTCAAAATATCCAACCACGTTAAGGTACTATGTGAGCAGTTTGTGGCACAGAACCCAAAGGGCATGCATTTCACCTTACAATAGCTGTACCCCTGTGAATAAAGCAAATTAACTTCTGGTCTCGACACCACAGCTCCTAGGACCAAATTAAGATGTTACAGCAGCACCTCACTTTTAGTTAGAGAAAAGCTAGATATGCAAGGCTATGTTAAGAGAAAGACAAATTCCAAACGGATTGGGTGTTGATTTCTCAATCCAATCAGCAGCATGATTGGTACCAGACCTGGGACAAATATATTTCTGACCTCATCAGGGTGTGCAGCCCAGAGGTTAACATATCAGGAGAAAATGCTTGAAGACAAGAGCTGAAAGCCGTGGTTTGAGAGATGAAACCCCCAGGTCTCCTTTTCACATGGAATCTACAGTCGGCTAAGTCAGCCAAAAATCACAGCAGGCAAACCTTCCCTCATCAACAGGGTCAGAACTGCTTACAGAACCACACTGCATACGGAAAGATGGATTTGAAAAACCGTCCTTTGCTCTGCTAATTTGATGGGAAATTAAGGGTTTCTTTTCATGTCCACTACTCTCAAGAAAAGAGAAAACTAATGGAAGGAAACCCAGCAGGGCTCACGATGGACCACATCAGCCATCCAGTAAGCTGAAGGCATGCGTCTAAAAGGCGGCCTAGTCATCAGATGCTGGTGTCCTGAAACAGAACAACTGTCTTCAGCATACACATGACTGAAAAGAGAGGCAGGAAAAGGAAGCCCCATTAGTGATATGTGTTGGCTACGTGTTAGGAGCCATTCTCTTAACCATGTTAAAATAGTCGCACAAATTCAGAAAGCATTCTGAACTCCATAACCATATCACACGACATTACCTTGAAAATGTTCCATCTGTTTCTGTGTAGACGGGGCTGGCCCAGCTTCTTCTGTTATCCTCATTTTTGTCTGGTCTTTTCTTCCTCAGAGGTGCTGGCACATAGGATGGCTGTTTACTTTTGTTAGGCAAGAAGCGGTTGAATGGTAGAGCAGACTTTGGTTCAATCGCTGAAATCCTTCGATAGGACATATCATCTTTGTTATAATCCTGCATTTTGAAGGTAAATTCCCAATCTGTGTCACTTTCGAAACCTATAAAGGCACAAGGAAGTTGCTTTACTCTCTGGCGAATTCCTGCTGGGCTCCCCTCCCCCAGCATGTCCTCTTCTCCCTTGGAAACCTAGTGCTGCTGCTAAAAGGCAGGAATATTTTTAGAACTTCGTCCAGAAGTTGTGATAAGGCCCATGAGGAGGTACTTGCTTTCCATACTGGAGGCACACACAGTTCATTCTTCCGCTGTCATACATGATAAACAGATAAGTCCCCAGTCCCCGGCTCAGTCCCTTCCCAACCCTCTTTGCCTCCAGGATGCCTCATAAATTCACTGAAGTATAACACATGGGATAAAATCCAGCAATTGAGTGAGATAGCATGATTCTATGGAAGCTCAGCAATGTAAGAAAAGGCAGGAGGCCCTCGGATTTACAGGAAGTGGCAGGCAATCATAGAAAGCAAAGGAAGACTGCACAGGATTCAACAGTGACACATAGACCCCTGTAAGGTCACTCATTCGGACGAGGACCTCACACCACAGAAGACAGACTAGATGACATCTGAAGTCCTAACAAATTAAAGTGTATGCCCACACGAGAGCACAGAACTAAAAATGTTCCTTCTGATAAGTGAAGGAACTATAATGGGAATCAGGAATTGTGATTAAAAATGTACTTAAAAGCAAACTTAACCACCACAAAAGAGCCTTTTTTGATAAATCCCAATGTCAGATATTCAAATAACAATATATTCTCTAGCTGAAAAACTAACAAGCCCAGATGTTTTAAAACAGAGTCATGGAGAGAGTAACCGTCTAAATCCAAATGGAGATGTCTCTCCTGCCCTGCCTCAAGGGCATTTATGAAACACAGGTAGCCGGCAAGTGTCGCTTGCTTCCTCCCAGCTGCAGAAGGCAACTCCACTCACAGCTTCCGGCTTTCCGCACACCTTCCAGGTTAACCTGACCTAAAGGCAGCTTGCCTCCATCACCTGCCAGGCAGGAATGTACAGTAAACAATGCCAATATGGTTCAAAGGAAGTGATCTGGCACAGCTGGGTCACAAGAATGGGTAGAAGGACAGTCTGGGCAGAAAGGGAGAACAGCTTGGTAGCCATGGTCCGGAAGAACCGAAGTCGTTAAGCTACTTCTGCTTTCTTTTGCTTTTTGTTTTTAACACTTCCTAAAAAAGAGGGAGAAAGAAAAAGAGAGAGAGATCCTTTCCTTACCAAAACCTACTTATGAAATTTGAAAATCACAGACTAGTTGGCTTTTGAAATTTCAAACTTAAAATTCTTATTTTTTTTTAGCTAATACAATTTTTATTTGTACAAATATCACTCCTGATATGTTTTCATACAAAACTCATGAGATGCACCATCTTCTAATCCTAAAAATATTATCATAATTGTGGTTACCACCCACTATAATTGTGTGGGCCGCAGAAGTTTAATAATCACAGAAGCGCGTCATTCTTCTGGGACCCATCTCCCTCCTTCTGCCCTATTTACAATTGCCCAGACCTCTACAGTTCTTAAACAAGGTCTTAAATGTGACCCTGGGGCCCTCCGCTTTGCATCACACACACCAGGCATGGGCCCATATGTCAAAGGACACTCAGATCTTGCACCGTTGCGTCTCTGTGTTTTGGTGATAGATCCACGCATGACACAAACCCGCAACCATCCCACTGTTAGTCTTTGACAGGCAGATAGAAGTTCAAACATAGCATGCCATAGGTTCCTCAGTCAGGAAAAAGGAACCTAGTGTGTTGAGATTTTTAGTCTCAGTTTACAACTTTAATTACTTGGATGAGTCACAAACTTAGATTTATTTCCTTACAGCAGATATGATCGTTTTCCTCTGTGCTCTGAAAAACTCATACCGCGGTACGAAACAGCCAACAAAAACAGTGGCAGTTACAAAGGTTAATAGTAAAGCCATTCACATATTTCTACAATGACTGCTCTAAAAGTTAAAGAATTTAGTTGTGTTAGCATGCTTCATTGACTTTTAGGAAACAAACTTATTATTTGTGGGTGTTTGAGATTTTGCATAATAAAAGTCTTGGGTAAAATATTTATGTCCTGAATAAAGAAACTGAAAATCCTCAAAGGTGGAGCACAAGTTCACAGTCAGAGCTCGCATTTCTTTCCTGATGATGTTTAAAGTGCAGAAATACTTTAAAAGAAAAAAAACTGGTCTTGGAAGTGCTGGGGTTTTAAACTTGAGAGTCTTATAGATTTGGGCCACATGCTCTATCACTGAACTATAGCCTCAGTAATTTGAAATGTTCTCTGTGGTTTCTACTTAGACAAAATTCAGACTACCTGTTTAGTCAGAAACTATTAATACCATCTAGGAGCCATAGGAATAAGACATGCATTTCTTTTTTTTTTATTTACTTATTATTACTGGTTTTGTGAGAATGTGTGTATGCTCAGTCTTGCCATGACAGGCCGTTAAAAAACTTTTCCTCTTTTATACTTAAGTTTTTCTGATAAAATTAAGACAAGAAAAAAAAAGACTTGGGAAGTAGAATAGATGTTTTACAGATTCTTATGTGTTTTGTCTTTAGATATATGAGTTAACAGACCTTATTAAATACCTATTGCTAAGCCTCTACCTGAAGAGTTTCTCACTGACAAAAATCCAGTCACGGTGAACCAGTGAGCCATCTCCTCACAAGTACTGTTCAAATACAGAAGTTTAAAAAAAAAAAAAGGAAACCGGCATTTCTATGAGGTATGAGGAAGGGAAAAGTCGAAAACAAAACAAAAATTAAAAACCACCTAATCCCATGGATTTAATAAAATCTACATCTTAACGAAATCTTTGAACAGTTTTCATCCTCTGCTTTCTCCCCTGCATTTCCTCTTCCCATACAAACAAGTAACATAAACCTACATCCCAAGACACGGCTCACCTTCCTTCCCGCCTCTAAGTGTGAGATCTGAAGAGCAGCTGGTCAGTGATCTAGACCCCAAGGAGTCCAAGCTTTCAAAGGAATCCTCCCTCCTATGGCTACCTGGAGGGGCAAGAAATTCTCCTCTGTCAGGACACCAGATATCACCGTAGCCACTGTCTCGGCCACTTCTTTTCAGACAGCTGGAATCTTCAAGTGCCTGAAGAAGAAACATTGTACAAAGATCAGTGAGTGAACATGAACTTTCAGAACTGCGAAAGCTCTGATTCATTAGAGAGGCAAGTTGACAGGATTTCCCTGTTCAACAAAAGGGGGGAAAAGAGCCGGGCGGTGGTGGCGCACGCCTTTAATCCCAGCACTTGGGAGGCAGAGGCAGGCGGATCTCTGTGAGTTCGAGGCCAGCCTGGGCTACCAAGTGAGTTCCAGGAAAGGCGCAAAGCTACACAGAGAAACCCTGTCTCGAAAAAACCAAAAAAAATAAAAAATAAAAAATAAATAAATAAAAAAGGGGGGAAAAGTTAAAAGCACGTTTTTTCCCCATAAACTATATAATAGGGGGTATTCCACATACTAGGAAGGTACCTGAAATTATTTAATCAAGTTATATAATCAATATATAAGATGAAAACACTAATAAAAACAGCCTTGAAATGCTGGTCAATGGTTTATATTTTTTGTCTGGTAGAAAAAAATGAAAGAAATCAAAGAGAAAAAAATCCTAATGTAGACACTCAAAAGGGAGGCACATCTTTAAAATGTCTCATTCTCTCTCCAGAAAATATCTGAAGTGGTCTATGCTAAACATAAGACCAGAGTGACTTTCTGTAACACTATCTGACTTCATAAAAAAAAATCTATTATTTTAAAAAGCAGTGAGTATGTACATCACGGAATTTGTCTACTTTCACTGATTATGCAACCGAGATGGAGATGCTGACAGCAGGCTGCCTTTCTTAGTGAGTCAAGGGCAGCATGCATGCTTGCTGGCATATAAAACTTACCTTCCTTAGAGGGAAATAAAATAGGTCTTTGGCTCTTATATGAATAAGAGATACATAGAAATAGTGCAAAAGATATTACATCTAGGTTTATAACTTACATAGAACTTTCCCAAAACAAGCCATTTTCGTTAACACACCTCTGAAATTTAATGGCAAAACCTAACTGACCTTTTAAAAATTAAGACATAAATGAAAACCAACAAAGTTAATCTTAGATGACAAGTTAAAGAACATAAGAATTAAAAACAAAATATAACATACAAACTTTGATTAAATCATGATTTAACTTTTAAAAACTATGAAAAATACTCCAAAGCTACAGAGAAACCCTTTCTCGAAAAACCCAAAGGGGGGAAAAAAACTATGAAAAATAGTTGGGAGACCACAGGAAATAGATTCAATAATAAATGATGATGAAAGTTGATGAGATTTCTTAAGTGTATATTATAGGTACACAGAAAAATATTCTTACTCTTAAGAGATGGATTCTGAGAATTCAGAAGAGAGGTACGGTATCTGAATTCAAATGGTTAAGTAAAATATTGACAGATGGGCAGACACTATTAAATAAAGCCAAAATGGAAACACTACATCCTGTAATAATGATGTGACATTTGCAAGGGTTATTGTCTTACCATTTTATCATAAATACTTTAAACATATGAAGAAAGGCTGGCAAGTGCTCGTGACAAGTAGTTAGCAGCTGTTTCAAGCAGACTTAATTCAACTCGTGAGTCAATTGTCTGACAAGTGTTTGAAATGCCAAGAACGGCTAGTACAGAGATTTCATACTAGCATTAAACTTGACATCCTGGCATGAAAACACCAGGGTCTACCTTTCACATGCCACTTCCAAGCAGATGGGGAAGCCAAGCTTAATGCCAACAGGCTATATCTCAAAATACAAGATTAACGTCTTAAAGTAAATCTTTTGCTCTGCCAGGTTTCTTGAACACATACTTGTTGAAACCTCAGAGTTCACACAATATGACTTCTGATATTATCAATGTTAACATGACTGACAATGAGCCATGTGACCTGTTATAAATAACCCAAGTCTGGCCCTGCAGCCTGGTTTTTGAAGACTTCACCCTGACAAATCCCCCAAAGTGAGTCATCCCCGATTTATAATCTGACTCAAATACAGCAGCTTCCACTGAGTATTGGTCCACTGCTACTTCCAATTGGCATTATCATTGCAAGTGAACTGGGAAAGTACACTTGATACAAAGCCTTTCATTTTAAAAGAACTGATACAAAAGAAATAGTATGTTCACATGCCCCTTATGCCCCCACCAGGTAATGGAAGAACAGGACCACAACCACAGTCTTATATACACAAAGAAGTCTTTTGACCATGCTGACGGTGACATCGATGACTGTGAACAGCCTTTAAAGAGGCATGCCTAGCACAAACTCTGCACTGAGATGAGTCATCCTGAGTCATTGCCATAAAAAGCAGGAAAGGCTATAAAGAGCACTATTCCACAAGCCCGGGTCCCCTGTAGCTTCTCACTGCACGGCTCCTTAGTTCAAACAGCTGAGAGCCGGGTTTCCCTTGTACCTACAACTCGCTGCAATTCTCCCACCAAAGGCAGGGACGGCTCTGCTTTACATTCTCAGGCAACGGTGCTTGCTGGTGGATGCATCAGTCATTCTCCACCCTCTAGCACACGATGGATGTGTGGCAGTATCTCAACTACAGTCTCAATTAATTCATCCACAAAGTGTGCATATGGAACTACCAACTCTTTTCTGAGCCTTCATGTACACATACACTGCACATGCACGCATGCATATATATGTGTGTTCATGCACATGCAGGCATGTGTATAGAGGTCAAAGGTCCATCTCCAGGGTTGTTTTTCAAGAGACATCCACCTTGCGTTGCTTCTGTTGTTTTGTTTCTTGAAGCTGAGACAGGGTATCTTATTCGTTTAAAGTTTGCCCAGCAGACTATACTGCCTTGCCAGGGAGCCCCAGGAATCCTGTCCTTGCCTCCTCAGTGCTGGGATTCTGTGTGTGTCACCATACTCCGCTTTACTGTGTGGACTCGGGGTCAGAGCTGTGTCCTTGTGTTTGCACATCGAGCTTTTACCGACTGAGCTGTTTCCCAGCCCTAAAGAGCTATCGGTTCCTTCCAATTAAAGAAAAAATGTGTAATCCCATCCATGGCTAGATGCAGGCCAAGTATTTTTAAAGACATGGATAGATATAGGCAAAAGCAATTATTTTTATCATGTCTAAATATTCCTCTGTTCTAATCATAACTAACATTCATTGCATCCCACAATGTGTCGGAAACATTAAATATTTTTCTCATTTAATCAGAAAAACCTCACAAAGCAAGTACTACTCTAACATATAGATGCTGTTTTATCATTTTGATCGTCTATTTTCTTCCAATCCTTATAAATGCCCTGGATGAAGAGTTACACAGAGAAACTGGTTTTCCACTAGGGCCCTGTCAATGAATTTTTTTTTTTTTCAAAACAAAATCACTATGGTTTGGACTCAGCACTTGGTCCTTCTCAAATATGTTGCAATGATCCCAGGATACGAAAGAGCAAAACGTAGGTAAGAACAGGGGCTCTGGGCTCGGCGGTGAAGAGCACTTGCTGCTCTAGTTCAGTTCTCAGCACCCACACCAGGCAGCTCACAACTGCTGTGACTCTACCCCCAGGGCACCTGATGCTGTCTTCTGGCCACCGAGGTCACCAGAACTCTCATATATATTCCCGTGTGTGTGTGTGTGTGTGTGTGTGTGTGTGTGTGTGTGTGTGTGTGTAATTACAAATAAAAAACTAAAAATGAAAAAAAAAAGCAATAATGATTCTAACTTCAAAATCTCTTCAGCAGTCAATCATAACTCATGCCTTCCATCCCAGCAGTTGAGAAGTAGAGGAAGATCAGGAGTTCAAAGTCACCCTGACTACATAGCAAGTCTGGGATAGCCTAGGTTAGTTGAAACTGTCTTAAAATGAGCACAACTTTATCAAGTTTCACTTAATATTTATTACTCCTCAATGAACACTAGCAGCATGGTAATACTGGAATATGGTCACTAGATAATTACCCTTGACAAGAACAGATTAATATAAAGAAACTGAGTAACTCCTATAAATGTTAATAGCCCTAAAAATGTCTTTTTACTGCAGATTGAGTTCATATAATGAGTATAGAAACAGTTAAGTTATATAGTGTATAGAAAGCAAATGTGTGTGTCATCAAATTACCTAAAATTAAGGGCATAAAATTCTACACCTTGGAACCTACTCTGCATTAGATAACTCACTCCGTAAAAGAAGCACAGGAAACCAGAAAACAAGTAAGCAACCTGCCTACTTCTCCATGTCTAGAAAGGAGCACAGCCAACCTCCAGGTCTGCTGTGGAGGAGCATGGGAAGCAGAAGGGAAGGGCACGCTCAAGTGGGAGCACTTGTCACAGGAGTCATTTCACACAGGTGGAGTCCTTACCTTAGTCAACGCTTGTCCTAACAGAGTCTCAAAAGCTTTCAGATTGAGATGGGGACCATTATAGTAGGGGCTGTTTTGTGCTTTTCTTCCCAGCCAGTACAAAGTTATCAAAACCTAAATGAAAATAACAAGATCAGTGGATTGGTAACCAAGAGCCCAGTTCAAATGCATTAGAGGAATCGTAATACTGTACAGTTGAAAAGCAGACTCTTCAATGTATGGTAAGGAATGCAGTCATTAAAAGTCATAATTATTCTTGATATATTTTATTGTTTCAAAACAGGTTCTCAGATCAAAAGATACAGAACTTATAGATAGTCATGCACTCTACCCTTGAGAAGTAGAAAAAAAAAAGAGAGAAAAACATGAGGGTTGGTGATATAGCGCAGTCGGTAGATTGCTTTCTTGGCATGCAAGAAGTCCTGGATGAAACTGAGCCCGTACCCCCATCACATGGAAGATAAAGGCAAAAGGATCAGAAGTTCAAAGGTCATGTGTGTACAAGGAAACTATGAGAACAGACTGGACTACATGAGAAGTTGTCTCAAAAAACAGGGAAGTATAAAGTACAGGAGAAACGTGTGTGTGTGTGTGTGTGTGTGTGTGTGTGTGAGAGAGAGAGAGAGAGAGAGAGAGAGAGAGAGAGAGAGAGAGAGAGAGAAAGAAACAGAGAATGCATGCAGGTTCACAAGTATAGACACCTTCCAGAAGTTGAGTCTCACTTTCTACATTTGTTTTGAGGCACAGCCTTCTCTAGTTGCTTGATGTTCCACTATGTATGCCTGGCCATGAGTTTCTGGGTAATTCTCCCATCTCTGACCCCCATCTCACCCTAAGAGTGCTGCAAATACATGCGCACTACTGTATCCAGGTTCTTACACAAATTCCAGGGATGTAAACTTAGAACCCCAGGCTTACGCATCGAGCTCTTCTACCCACTGAGGCACCTTGCTGGTCCACAAGTGACACTTTTTACATCAGAATTTTTCCAGTAAAACTACATAATAAACCCCTAAAGTCAGTAATTCTCAGCTTGCTTGATGAGCATATTTTTAAATAAAGCTGTTACTTTCAGATATTCTTCTGTAATCGTCCAACATTAAGGACATGCTATTAGCCTAAACTGAATAATTACCTAGAGTTCTTAAGCAATCATATCTTTCCTTAATGTCTAATGTGATAGTCTCCCTCTTGCTCCCCTAACACTTTTAAATTGAGCTTGATGTCTACAAACTAGAAACAGAACAACCAGTCCCTGAAACCTAATCTCTCTTATGCCCAAGTCAGGTCTACACAAAGCATGTAGGTCTACACAAAGTCTAATGATGGATTGTCATATGTACACTTGTCCTGTAACAACACTTAAGACTCTAACCGGTTGGTTTCTAGGTAAATTTTAATTAGAAAAGATGACACAGAGCATATTCTTAGACCCATTATGATTTTACAGAACATAAAGGGAAAAACTATTTATAACACTCCATTAAATACAGCTTACATTTTTCAGTCTCCTGTCAGTCTCTTCTTGCCTGTAAAGAAAAAGAACGTATTGATTAAATAATATCCATGGGCCTTAAATTATTAACTGTAACTAAAATTCATTTTCATTATAAAGTTCCATCAGTGTTAAAAATACCTTGGACATTCAGAAATCTTAGAGCACATAGCGCACGAATTTTCCCATAGCCATTGATTTAAATATTACAGTGAGTTATCGAAAATAATAATAATAAATCATTTGCTCTGTTTCTTATTTTATCCATGATAGTTTGATGAGTTCTTCAATTTTCTATAAGTAGTGCTTAAATCCAATCTGAAGGTTTTTAAGCAAAAATCATAGTGTGCATATGACAGAAAAATTGGAAAATACACACAAGTCAAATGAGAAAAGGAAACAAACAGTTTTGCACTGAGTTTTCCCCACCACTGTCCACAGGTTTCTCACCCAAGAAAATCCTCTGCAAACTGCTTAGAAAACCTGGCCCTGCAGAAGTTGAAAATTACAGTTTTATAAATGGGTCATGAAGCATGGGTGGGATATAATGGCTTTAACCCCATTACTGGGGAGGCAGAGGTAAGCAGATCTCTGGGAGTTCAAAGCCACTAGATCTAGTGAATTCCACCAGGGCTGGCTAATGATACCCTTTCTCAAAAAAAAAAAAAAAAAAAAAAAAAAAAAAGGCAGCTGTGAACTTTGACCTGAAATGTCTGAATTCTATTACAGGCATGTCAGACATTTTTGTTGGCCTGTAAAAAAGCATGACGTTTATGAGAAAGTCAAAAGGAAACAGATACCACCTCAGTTTTGAAGAGACTTAATAATATGTAACAGACAGATGGGCCTCCCTCAAGTACTGATGTATTTTCCATCATTATCAACATAGGGCATCATTAAGAATCACACTGCAGAAGCCTGAGCTAGATGGCATCCATGATAGCTTTTCAGCATAACTGTAAGTAGTGAAAGAAAAAATATGCACATGCATACACTGTCAGCATATATATGGAATATATTCCATACATCAAGCCGGTAACATGTCTAGCACCCATTCACTCATACAGAGAAAAATAATGAGGTGAGAGTGAATACAGACACAGGCTGAATTCAGCTTTCCCAATATCTACAACAATTCACTTTCACAGAACAAACATGAAACAAAATGAACTTATGCATCTCCAACCCCTAAAAAAAAATCAACAGGAATGCCCATAAGCCCTGATATTGCTGGTAGAAACGTTTGGTGCATTAATACTCTGATCCTACTTGGTAGCATCTATCTAAACTAAATATGCCTATAGCCCAAAACCCAGTAACTCAATTTCCAGGTTAACACTCAAGAACAGTGTGTTCATTTGTTTAGCCAAAGTCATACACAGGAGACTTTCTGCGGCCTTATATTATGGAGTGTGTACACAGTGAAGCACTAGATGGCAATGGGATTGAGCAGCTGCAACTTCATTCTACCGTATGGTTCAGTATCACAAGCAATGGGAGAAGAAGAGCACAGATAGCATGGGTAGATGAATATAAAAGTACGAAAACAAGCAAAAGAAAAATCTGGACTAGACTCAAGACAGTGATTGGTACCCTTGGGATAGAGAATGGGAGAGGCGGTGGCAGAGAGTAAGGCTTCTGAGATGCCGGGAATTTAAATTTTGGTCTGGACACTGGTTACTTGTGTTTTTGGTTTTTTTTTTTTCCCCAAGGAATCTTTGACCTGTAAATTTATCAGTTTATGAATTTTGGGTTTTGTTGTTGTTGTTGTTTTCTTTTAACATGCATTTTGGATTCGAATTCAAATCTTCCTGCATGTAGGGCAAGCAGTTTAACAACTGGGCCATCTCCTGAGCTCTTGGGAGTTATACAATACATGTATTTTCCTGTTTGTGTACTATACTTCAAAAAAAGTAATCTGGAGAAATTCCATAGCTGAAGTGCTCAAATTATAATTTATGTCTTCAATTAAGAGAAAATCATCTTGTAAAGGCCTTCTGTTTTGGAAATCAAAGTGGGAATATCACTAGAAGCTATTGTGAATTCATAGCCTTTCGTTCTAATGATAACCGGCATATTACTTCAAATAGTAAATTATCCAAAGTACAAAAGTACCATGTACTCTTAAAGATGTGTGGGTTCAAAGTGATCTCACTTTTATCATAAGCACACTTGAGCATCAGGTACCACAGAGCCCTCTTGAAGACCTACCTCCTTTCAATAGTTTGCAATAAATGTTTCCAGTCCATCTGACTGTGACTTTTTATAATGATAAGCAATCTGTGGAAATGCAAGGCAAGGCTATTCTGTGTCGGATCCAATTGCAGTGACCTTGCATTTCTGCCCTTCACTTTACATTCCTTTCTAAGTATGCACATTTACAACGTGCCCCAGAACACAAAGACCCACAGGCCAGCCAAATTAGCTTCCTATCTCTGAAACACGTAATGCCAGGAATTCACATGGCCCTAGATTGCTGGAGTAGAGTTCACACTGACACACACACCCTAGTGGGTGGCCACCAGGCACACCCCTAAGACCTTTTAAATTAACGAGTAGAGAGAGGAAGCTCAAGGTAGCAAGCCAAGGAACTACACAAGCCAGAACTGAAAGTAAAGTCCGCCTTAGATGAGTGACTCCACCAGAGCGAGGGAGTCCACAGTGGGCATGGCACGACACCATGTTGGAGGAAGGAGCATTTTAGTGACAGATGTGGGTCCCATGGGCTAGCTCTATTTAAATTTGGACCATTTACTTTCAAAGTCTCCATTTCCAGTTGATAAACTGGAGATAATACGCCCTGTTTCAACAGATAAGGGGAAATATACAAAGTAGGAACATTAACCTCCTCAAGACTAGTCCTTACACTGTGGCCCTCTTCTCTCTACTCTTTCCACAAAAGCCTCCTAGGGAAGTCCTGTGCTGGCCTCTGACATTTAACTTGTAATTGGCCTAACACAATACCCCCAGACGTCATCTTACCCCTTCCTTGTCTTATATTTACAACCATCTTCAGCCTGCATGTGTGTGTCTATGTCTGTTTTTGTGGTGCTGAGAATCGAGCCTGGGGTTTCATGCTAGGTAAGCACTCTACCATTGAGTATACTTGTTAGTCCTGCATTTTCAAAAATATTTTTGCCCAATATGAGAGAATGAAGACTTTTGTGTGGTTTTGCTCACTGCTACCTCTAGTACAGGAATAAAGGGTCTACCTGCTTGGGAATTGCATAAAAATATTTCATATGATCAGCATAATGCAAGATACACAAATGTTCCCATTCATTGAATGCATTTTTCTGACTTTGGAAAGGCAAATTGACAAGCACCACCCAGGACAGTGGTTCTTAACCTTCCTAGTGCTTCAACCCTTTAATAATAGTTTCTCATGTTGTGGTGACCCTTCAACCATAAAATTATTTTTGTTGCTACTTCATAGCTGTAATTTTGCTACTGTTATGAATTGCAATGTAAATATTTGTGTTCTCCAATGGTCTTAGGTGACCCCTGTGAAAGGGTCAGTCAGCCACCAAAGGGGTTGTGACCTACAAGTTGAGAACCACTAAACTAGGAGATTTTTAACATTCATATGATGCTGAAAACAAAATTAAACTGCATTAGCTTACTTTTAACATCCATCCAATTTGACTCAGATTCCACTGCTACTCACAATTAGGGTGGGGGAGGGGGGGCATACACCCATGTACACCCATTTGGAGGCCAGAGGACACTGGGCATCTTCTGCTATAACTCTCCACCTCATTGTCTTAAGACAGGGTCTCTCACTGAACCAAAATCTCACTATTTAGGTGAGTAGCTTGCCAGTAAACTCTTGAGACCCATACCTCCCGACTCCAATGCCAGGGTCACAGGTACAAGCAGCCATGCTCAGGTTTCCAGCTGGGTGCTGGGAATTCAAACTCAGGTCCCCATGCTCACAGAGCTACACTGAACCACCTCCCCAGCCTCCAGGTTTCCCCTGACACTGCAGCAAGATGCAACTCTGCAAAACCAAGTATCAATAACCACAACCAGAGACACACAAAAACATAAGAGCAGGCCAAATCTTGCATGGCAATATCTGAAAATGAAAAAGAGTCAAAGACTTTTAAAAAGGATAAAATGGTAGTGTTCAGATAACATTCAAAACTGGCTATCTTGAATATACAGATCGCCCTTATTTAATCCTCAGACCATGCCCTAACTTGAAATACAACATCTCGTATTCACAAAATAGCAAGCACAGCTAACTATTCCATGGTGTTAATTGAACGGCACTGGAAATTCCTTTGCTACCTGACCAAGGAGTGGCAAACCTACCTGTGTCCATCATGGACCACCTAACTGTGCCAACTGTGAGCTCACATAGCTGTCATCACCTGGCCCTAACAGCTACAGAGTTTATGTAGAACTTGGAAGCCATAGCATTGGTCCTTTCTTTACTACTCAAAGATTTTTAAACATTGGTCCGAATCAATAAAGAAGTAAATTTTAATCAGAGAACCAGGAAAATAAAAGTCCACGCCGACCTCTGACTCTGCTGAAGAGCTGTGATGTGAAGTCCTCCTAGGAGGAGCCAACTTGGCTCAGAAGGTACTTCTTGGGGTCCCCTCTGTGTGTATCCTTGCTCCCCTTTAATCGCCTAGGAGAAATTGGTCTTGTGACCTCACTGCTCCAAATCCTTGCCTGTAAAACGGGAGCCTAGACTCAATGGCAATCAATGAGATTCAAACTTCTTAACCCAGGCCAAGCAAAGAAATGAGCCTTTTCAAGGCTGTCCCTAACTGTCATTATCTACTACAACTGGCCTGTTGGACTGGGGGTAGTAGCTGGAGCCAGTCACCATTTCCCTTACACAGAAACTTTTTCCCCCAAAGAGACACATTTGATGAGACATAATTTTCAATACTCTTTCATTGTATACTTAATATGACCTCTTAATATGGATAGCTTTAAATGAGAATCAGAAAATACTTATAGAAGAATGTGAAAACAAAAGGTGAGGCATCCTGGTACAATCATCATCCACGTGTCTTC